CTACCTGCTAAAGTCTTTTATCCATTTATCTTTTGGGTTATCTGACTTTTCCTTACTGTCCTCATAACATTTCTCTGTAGAATCTGAATACTAATCTTTATCAGTTATATATGTTGCAAATACCTTCTTATTTCTGCCTCATTTCTTTTATTCTATTATCATTTGACAAAAAGTTCTTAACTTCAATGTAGTTGAGTTTTACCAGTATTAATTCTTTTATGGTTTGAACTTTCATATCAGGTGTAAAAAAAGCTATATCCTGCAATAATGCCTTCTAAATACTTTATTTTGAGGGGCCGGCCCTGTGGTCGAGTGGTTAAGTTCGCGCACTCCGCTGCAGGCGGCCCAGTGTTTCGTCAGTTCGAATCCTGGGTGCAGACATGGCACTGCTCATCAAACCATGCTGAGATGGCGTCCCACATGCCACAACTAGAAGGACCCACAACTAAGAATATACAACTATGTACTGGGGGGCTTTGGGGAGAAACAGGAAAAAAATAAATAAATACTTTATTTTGACTTTCACATTTAAGTATTTACCTCAAGTAGAATTGATATTTGTGTATAGCGCAAGGCTCAATTTTCACATGTGAAATCAACAGATCTAACCCTACACCATGGAAAATCCATCATTTACCCACTGATTTATAATGCTATCTGTGTCATACGTCAAGTTTTCATACACATCAGTCTGCTTGGGGCATCTCTATTCTGTTCTACAGGTCAATTTTTCTATTGCTTTACCAATATTACTGACTTAATGACCACAGCTTTTTAATAATTATTGATATCTGGTGAGGCAAGTCCCACCTCCTTGTTTTACAGGAGTATCTTGACTATTTTTGGCATGTTGATATTCCACAAACTTGAAAGGTTTCACAAAAGTATCTTCAGAGATTCTGTCTGGAGCTGCATCTAATCCACAGAGAAATTTAAGAAGTCACATCATTAGAATAAAATGCTTCAAACCATACATATAGTAAACGCTCCTTTTTATGGTATTTTTAATATCTTTTGATACTTAAACATATTTCCTAGGTACTTGTTCCAATTGTCAATTGCTGTATAATAAATAATCTCAAAATTTAGCAGCTTAAGACAACTATTTTGTTCACGAATCTGCAATTAAAGAAGGATTTGGCAGGGACAGTCTGTCTCTGCTCCACTCTGTGTCTAGTGGCACAAATCACAGGCAGGCAGGGCTGAACTCACCCCAGGAATCCCAAGGCACATGGAGAGGTCCCTTCCAACAGCCCTGCTAAGGTCCCAGTTTACAGTCGGCATCAACCACCAGACACGCGTGAACACCCGTTCATTCCTAACAGGGCTTTTTTACCTCCTCTCTTTTTTCTTCATCAATTTCACTACACACTGAAATTATATATTGACAGATATATGGATAAAATAATTAATCATATTCTCTATATTTGTGCTGTCCAATATACAAAATGTGGCTGTTTAAATTTGAATTAATTAAAATTAAACTAAAAATTCAGTTCCTCAGTTATACTAGCTACATTTCAAGTGCTCAATAGCCACATGTACCTTACGGCTATTATATTGAACAATGCAGGGAGAATATTTCCATCCTCTCAGAAAGTTCTACTGTATGCACTACACCCTTACTTTTTTTCTGCTTGATAAACTACTAAGGTTGTGGTAAAATCTTCTACTAGGATAGTGAATTTTCCTTGTCGTTCTATCAATTTTTGTTTTATGCACTTTGAGGCGATATAATTAGGTGCATATAATAGAAACGTCATATCAAGCTGGTAAATTGAGTGTTTTGCCATTATAAAAGTAGTAGTAGCCTTCTATCTCTAGCAATATTAACATAGTTCAGCCAATTTCCTTTTGATTAGTATTAGCCTGGTAGAAGTTTTCATATCCTTCTAGATTCAACCATTTTTATAGCTTTATCTTTTAGTTGTATCTCTTATAAACCATATAGTTGGATTTTTCCTCATCCTGATGATCCTTGCCTTTTAACCAGAGTATTTAGTCCATTTACGTTTATTGTCATTGTTGATCTATTTTTATTTACCTTTACCTTTTATGGGGGTGCTATTTATCCCATCTTTCATCTTCATTCTTGCCTTCTTTTAGATGATTTTTTCTTATTCTATTATTCCCTCTTTTAATTTGTAAGTTACACAGCCAATTTCTAGTCTTTTAGTGACTATCCTAGAAATTACAGGAGCATACTTACAAAGACATTTAAACATCAAAATTCTGATCATCTCTTCCTAACTTTTACAACGCTGCCATGTATTTTAATTCTGCCTTTGTTTTTAACCCCACAAGAGATTATTACTATTTTGTTCAATCAATATTTGTTTAGATTTACCCATTTTTATGGATCATCATTCCTTCTTACATTTTCAGGCTTTCCATTTGGGATAATTTTCTTTTTACCTTAAGTATATCCTTTAAAATTTCCTTTAATGAGAGTGTATTGGTAGCAAACTGTCAGTTTTAATTTGTATGAAAATATCTTTATTTTACCCTTGTTTTCGAAAGATACTTTTGCTGAATATGAAAATCTGGGATCACAATTATTTTCTCTCAGTCTATTGATGATATCATTCTATTGTTGTCTGGCTTCCATTGTTGTTGTTGAGAAGCTGGACTCCATACAGTTCATTTGGAGGCAATGTCTTTTTTTCTTTGGCTGCTCTTAAGAATTCTGTCTGTCTTGTTTTTCTGTACTTTCACTATTACGTGTCCAGGTAGAGATTTCTTTTTGTTTATCCTGATTAGGATCTACTGTGTTTCTATGTATTAGTGTTTGTATCAGTCCTACAATATTCTCAGCCATTAGCTATTCATCAAATATGGCCTCTAGTACAGATTGGGCGTGTGTGTTTTCCTTCTGGAATTTTAATATGTTTTTCTTCTGGGATTTCAATATCTGAAATCTGTGAAGGTCTAATTTTTGTTGTCTGTTACTTTTACTGGCTTCTCCTTGTACCTTTCATTGCTTGTTTGGCAATTTTTCATTGTGAATTCACTTTTCTTGGGATTTTATCTACAAGAATTATTTGAAGTCTGAGTTAAATGTAGACTCCTCCAGAGAAGATCTGTGGGTTTTTGTGATACCTGGAGACTGCTTTAAACTAAATTCTTGGCTTGATGTTTCCCGGACCATCCAGGCAACAGTATTCAGGCAATAAAGCCACTTGAGGGTCACCATAAATTCTCAAAGGGCACCTTGTATGCATCTCTCAGCACCAACGTTTGACATAATTTTCTCTGCAATCCCATGGGGGTAAGCTTTCCACCCTGAATGTTGCCCTTTGAAGTCTCAGCTTTATGGGACAGAGGTAGGAGGCTTCTTAGACTGCCTGTCTTTGGCCCTGAGTTTTGCCTTCTATTTTGCAGGCCCCTTGAGGTCATAAACACCACAGATGAATGTTTATCAAATGCCCTCAAAGCTGGCTTCAGAACTCTGCTTACCTCTTAAGAGTTCCCTCCTTCACTTAGTTTTTGGGCTCCAAGTATTCTTTACTAACATAGATTTCAAATATGTTTATGTTCTTTCCCCAGCATTTTTAATTGTTTTCATCAGGCCATACTGTCAAATGAGAGGTAGAGAATCCTCATCTGAAGAGAGAATGCTTGAGAACAGAAATATGCTCAAGGATGATTTAAATACCTTCTACAATGACAGATCCACAGTTGTTTAAAGCATAGTTTGGAATTTGGGAGGATTTTTTAGGCTTCCTTTTAATAAGCTCTGTTGATGACACATAAGTAGCTGCACTGACCAGTCAGGAAGAAGTACTCTGAAAGTTAGTAACTTGTCCTCCTGCCCCACTTGAGTACTAATTTGGTCTTGAAAAAAACCCAAGTCTTTGACTGGATCGCCTTGGCTTAGAGGAGTCAGATGAGGAAAATACTGTAAACATTAGTGTCTTGTCTTCACAATCCAACTGAAACTTCCTTGAAAGCAAACACTAAGTTTTCCAACCCTTCCCCTCTTAGTTCTTACCCTCTTCCTACAATAATCAAATACAGTGCATCCTGCTCATGGTAAAGTTCTCATCACAGGATCTCCTTACCTCCCAATTCTCACAAAGATCTCTCATGATTCTGAAAGTGTTTCTAGACCAAGAAATGCTGCACTAAAAGCCAATGAAATTCCATCTGCCCTTTCCAGGGAAATCCTCTTGTATTATCAAATTAGCCACTATTTTGGAATAACGTCAGAGCTGGCAGGAACCTTAACGGATCGTCTAGCAACTAGTCCAACACTCTTGATTTATAGCTAAGGAAACGGAGGCCGAGAGTGAGCACAGCTGCCTAAAATCATTAAACTGGACAACTGAGAGCTGAGTTATGGCTGAAATAGTTTCCTGACTCCATGCCCAAGATTCTCCCCACCCCAAGCTCTGTGTCTTGACATTCTCTGAATGGGGAGGATTGAGGAAGAGGGAGAGGCAGAGAGATAGCACAGCTTCACAAACAAAACCCAGCAACTACACCGCGAAGTAACACCTGTCCCCAAGGAGAGGAAGCCAGCCTGACTTCAGCCTGTGGCTGCGACCCGAGGACAGAAGTCTGTAGCAGGAGAGCGCGGGAGAAGGAACGCGCGAGACACCTCAGGCTACGAACGAGCTGGTCGCGCAGAGGCAACGAGTCCTGGGGTCCGGGGGCACTGGGTGAGCTCCCTGGGCCGTGAGGGGGACGCAGGCTTTCCAACCCGCGGTCCCTCTCCAGCCTGGAAACGGGCTCTCTTTTGGCAGGACGGAGAAAACGTGCGGGGAGGGTCACAAATCCACGAACACGACACGAGCCTCCGAGAAGTTTCCCGGCGAAGGCGCGCGGCGCTGGAGCAGAGAGGAGGCGGCAGAGCCCCGGGGTCACGAGGGAGGTCGCTGTTCGCCCGCGCCAGCCGCCCCGGGAGGCCAGCCCGCCGGCTCCGGACCTCGAAGCCCCGCCCCGGCCAGGGGCTTCGCCATCCAGAACGCGACACGAGTCCGCGCCAGCAGGACTCTTACCCGAGCAGGCGCCGACTCCGCCATGGCTGCCAGCCGCCCCTCAACACCCCGGCCCCGCCTGATACCCCTCCGGCCGCGCCCGGGTCTGCTGGGCGCCCCCGAGCCTCCTGGAAGACGCCCCCAGGGCCGTGTTGACACAAGGTGCATTGTGGGAGTGCGGCCCTCCCCGGCCAAGACGGGCTCCGGCCGCTCGTCCTCACCGCGCGGGATTCCCACTGCGCCCCCGTTCGGCAGGAGGGTGAACAGCAGCTCGGCGCTCCGGGCCAGAGCGTGCGAGACCCTCCAAGTCCAGCGCAGGTTCAAAATTTAAGGCAAACCCACTGGCCTTTGTGTGTCCCATATATAACCCACCACTCTGCTAGGCGCTTTGAGGGATTCAATGTATAAAACTCAGACTTTGCTCTGAGGGAAGAACATATAATCTAGTTGGGGAAAAGAAGTTTAGTCCCAAATGGCAAGTGGTTTTATTTCAAAATTTTACCTGTTATTTGGCTTTTTAGAAGCTGGAGACGTACTTCCCATATCAAAGTGTAGGGTCAGGTGCCCAGGCCAACCCACTGTAGCCTATTAATTATGGCAATCACATTCCTTGGAAAATCCTAGATAGCCCCGATTTCAAATATTTAATCCAGCCAGTACCCTACCTGTTAGACGACGAGTTCACAGTTTGCTTTGGAAGGCATGGCTGCATTACCAATTGATCACCCAATACACAACATTACTGCAGCCATACTTGCCTACTTTGTGTCACATCGTCAGGCAATGGACTGCCACCTCGAATGATAGGCATGAAGCGCTTCCCCTGAGAACTAAACTCTTAAGATCCACAGAAAGCTCACACGACTGACTCCTTCTTAGCATGCAGGGCTCAGTTCAGACTTCACCTCCTCTGAGAGACATTCCCTGTTCACCTTGTCTACAGCCCAACACCTCCTCCATCCCCATGCTCAATCTAGCTACCGTCTTTGAAATTTTTCGTAGCATTTATCACCATCTGAAACAATCTCGTTTTTCATTAGTTTACATGTTAATTCTGTCTCCTTCACTAAAATGTCCCTCCACTATATCCTCTATTTCCTGCACACAAAAGTGCTCGTAAGTAGTTTTGAATGATTGGATGGTGAATCAGAGAGTAAGAATAGGAAAAGTCAACTCCAGGAAAAGACAGAGGATTGACTGAATCATTAATTCATCTAAAGAAAGAATGGGCCAGGCTGAGGTAACTACAGCCACAGAGATACGGTCCAGGGCCTGATCCACTGTCTCAGGCCAACAAAAACTTACTGTCAGATACAGAGAAAAAATGTATCACGACTGTGGAGACAGACAGGTCAGAACATAGGATACCGAGGTCATTAAGTTATAGAACTCATGCCCTCTATTCTGTTTCTTGTGCTCACCAGGCAGCCTTCGGATGATGCAGTTTCCTGTGTAGCTACTGGGAAACAATATGAGGGTCAGGCTGATGCAAATGTCTGGTGTACTCCTAGGAACTATTTAACTGATACTCTGGCTTATCCATCAATCTCAGGAGAGTCAGCATGATTGAGCATCCCTGACTCTGAGTCTGGAACTCTGGAAAAATATTTAGATCAAAATTCCATTGAGCAAGGGAGGCAGCACCAGGCACTGGTTTGCAGTCTCGCGGGCTTGTGGAGATGGTGTAGCACAGTGATTTAGAAAGTGGAGCTGAGGAGTGAGACCATCCAGGTCCCCAGCCCAGCTCTGCCACTTACCAGATGTGAACCTTGGGCAAGTCATTAACCTCTCGGTACCTCTATTTCCGCACTATTAGCGGGAAAGAATAGTAGCTTATCTCAAAGAGTTGCTGTGCAGATTACGTTAGTTCAACTCAAGTGCTTAGAACAGTGCCTGTCACAGGTTAAGCGCTCAAGAAGCACTCCTATCGCTATTATGGTTTGCATCCCGGCTCCTTTGCTTACTAAGTGATGTGGCTTAGGCTCACTCTGCCTCAGTGTCTTCCCACTGAGAACACGAACACCACATCCTAGAGTGGTTGATGGAATTTAAAAAAATAACATGTCTAAGTAAAGTGCTTACGTAGCTGAACGCCTGGCATATAACAAGCACTCAGGGACAGGCAATTTCTCGTTTCTGGTTTGTTTCTGCTTTGGCAAGGCCCAAGCCTTGAACTGCAATGAATTCACCAAGATAAATGTCATCTTGTTGTGTCTCCTAGAAGCTACCCATTTGTCCTTTCTCAATGACACTCAGATCTTGACACATGCCTTTAAATAAAGTTTTACATGAGGTTATAATTATTCTCATTAGTCGTAGTAGAGATTAGAGGAGTCAAGAAAATACACTCTTAGTACCTGCATCCTGTCCTCTCTACATCTGTGGAACGTGCATGTAACATGCAGAGCTGAAGGTCACCTTAGACATTATCTCACCCACACCCTCATTTTTTGTGACAGAAAAAAGTATTCTTTGAATCATAAATAATATAAAATTAAAAATGCCTTAAAGATATTTATCTTGTCCTTTAAATTTTCTATTGTGTATGACTTATAGAATATATTTTAACATATATGTATGGCCAAACATTTTTTCACTCAGGAAAGTTTATTGACCACAGCTTTATTCCACTTAGTTGAGACCCTTTTTATTCTGTTCCCCTTGCTATCCTGCAAGTCTCTAGATGGCAGGGACCATGTCTCTTGTGCTCCTTCTTTTGCATAAATAACCCCCTGGGGAGCAGGCCCCTCTAGGCTTCCAGGTCAGTGAGAATCCTAAAATGAACACACCTTGGCTCAAGCTGCCCCCTGCTGTATATATGTGTGTAGTGGATATCTGTTCACTTTGTCAGCTGTGCACTTCTCCTTTCCTCTGGGCATAAATGCACCTCCTTCTCTTTGGGGACAGCTCTCCCCTGGGCCCTAGCCTTGTAATTTGAATGGGTGCTGCCATCTTGTTCCATGACAATTCCAGCCCCGTCACAGTGACTGAAGGGCAGGCATCTGACTCAAGCCAGCCCAATCGTAGCACCCTCGCCCCCTGGCCACAGTAATTGAGCCAGGGGTGGACATATGACCTAAGCTGGACCAATCAGATTTCTTCCTTGGGATTTTTCTTTCTTTTTTTTTTTTCCGGCCCTCCCCCCCTTCCCTGGGATTTTTCTAAGTGGAGCTGAGGGAACAAGTTAATTTCCTCTCTGGTGAAGCTGTAAATATTAGTCAGGAACAGTCCTGTCTCCTCCTTTTTTTTTTTTTTTTTGGAGTAACTTGGTTTGAAAGAATGATCCCAACACACACAAAGAAGCAGAGATGAGTGACAACTTTTATCTCTGTCCCGGATTGGTTATGCAACTGTTCCTGAGTCTGAATGATTCCAAGCTCCTTCCAGAAACTTCTCCTTTTTCCTGGTTGGCCTGTCAGCCTCCGGTAGAGTAACTGGATGACTGGGTGACAAGATTTTTTATGGCACATCCTTTTATACATTTAAAATCTTGAATATATTAATGTAAAAATCTATTCAAAACTTCATTAATTGATTGATTAAAAACTGGTACAGAATTCCTCAGAGGGAGAAAACAGTGTTTTGTTTAGCAAAAGAGTTTTACTGGCCATTTTAATTATGGAAGAAGAGACCCCAGGGCAAGGCTTTAAAGGCAGAAGGTGAGCAAAGGTAGAAGTAAATTGCTCTCCATAGTAAGTGATGATTTGGGGATTTCCCTGGGTATCCTGGGAGAGAGGAGCTACTCGTTGGAGAGGCAGGGAAGATACAAGATTGAGAAGGGGAGAGGCGAATTCTGAGAAACTCCTGACGGTCAGAATGGTTCAAGGTCTTTTAAGGGACCGTGCACTAGGCTATGAGACCCTCTCTGTAGCCTCTGAAGGATAGTCTACCACGCAGAAGTATCTTATCTGGGGAAGGCAACAGAGGAAAAGCACAGAGCTCCACCACCTGGGGCAACACCGAGCTGAGAGCACCAGCAGCGTGAAGGCAGAGACACGTGAATCTGAGAATCCAAAAAGCACGAGTTAACAAAGGAAAACAAACCTCTCCTCACCCCCAAATCCTTGAGATGTGGGGCACAGGCTGCTGGTTTTGACACTACATGTAGGATGGGGACTCAAGCCAGTTTACTGTTAAAGGATATGGACCCCATAGGGACGGAAGGAGCAGGAACAGTCAGGTAACCAACACTGGCTTATACTTCTAAGTCTGGATATAGGATCTCCCTTGAATCTTGAACGGGAGACAACTCAACGACAGTCTTCTTTCAGAATAGGAGATAGTAAACCTACTGAAATGATTATGCTGAGGGATGACGTGGGTTTAAAACATGCCTAAAGAGGTTTGAACAGAGGTTCTCAACCTTTAGGACACAGTGCCAGCACCTCGCTAGATTTTATGGAAGGGCACCTAAGGAAACCTCACAGGGTCGGGTAGGGTGAGATTCTGACATACACCCAGGACCCTTCTTCCCGAGAATTACTGCTTTAGAAATCTCCTTCTTTAATGGCTCCCTAAGGAGTCAGTGGCACATGGAATGCCATGGCCTTTCCCAACCATGCCCATCAGGGCCCCGGCCTGCTAGGACGCTGTTACATGCTTTTCTAACAACAATCAGATGGACCAATACTGTAAAATTTGGCACAGGCTGGTTCATCTTGGGCCTGGTGTGACATTTCCTTTTCCCCCTTACTCTCTGCCAAAACGCAATATCCAGGAACCAGATCTCAGAGAGCCAGTTATGGTACCCAAACCCTTGATCGTAAGATACCTTTACCTGTGGTTTTTCATTTTCACTGGTGTGTAGCTTCAACTTGCCTTCTCAAGACTTCCATTTTCATCCTCTGACCTTCTTTTAGAGCTATGCACTCTGCTTCTATCGAGTTCTAAGGGGGCTCTCAGGGGCTCTGTGGCACAGTGGATCTCAGGCTCACTGGCAGCCTATCTATGCAACGGCTCTGGCATTCAAGGCCCTCCGTGGCCGGGCTGTGACTCAACTGGCAACTCCAGCCTCCTGCCTTACAATCCCAATTGCTGCCTCGCTGCCATGTTTCATCCTCATCCCACATTGCTTCCCCCCTCCTTTCCCCTGCCCCAAGCAATGCACCCTTCAGGCCCTGACTTCTCCAATTCTGGAAAGACATACAAGCAGCTCTTAGCAGCAAATGCTTCCCAACAGGGAGTCAGGTAGGAAAGAGTTTTACTCTTCATTGTGTCTTTTTTTTTACCATTTGAATTTTTACTGCATGCATTAATTTTTAATTAAAATAGTTAATTTTAATTAACACATTATCAGAAGGAAAATAAAAATCCACCCCCAAAGCAAGACCCCTGTCCTGCTTCAGTAAGTGGACTGGATTGCAGGGTCCACAGAGAGGATCCTTGCTGCCTGGGAGAGGTCCACACTGAGTATCACCACCTTTGCTGAGCTCCAGGTGGAGGGCACTCTAGGGCTCTCCCGGGGCCGGTGCTGGAGGCTCGTGGTGTAGCTGATGGGCACCGGGTGCAGTGGGTCCACCACAGGACGCAGGAAACCAGACTCTAGTCTTGGCTCTCCCACTCACTCAGTCACTAAAGCTCTTTGGGAATCAGCTCCTTCAGGGTAAAATAAAGGGATAGGTTTGAGCTGTGTGCTCAAATGTTTCAAACCCATGTCTCAATAGTGATTTTCCCCCCTTCTTCATACTCTCAACAGCCAAAAAAAATTTTGTGGGTCTTATTTTCCATGATTTAGATTATGAAAATACTAATTTTCTGCATATGCTTTTGAAAAGCAGAATACCGCCCCCTCCCAACCAAAACACTGGAGTGCCCCCTTCTGCTCTAACAAAACTCCACTGAACTTCTCTATGTTTAATTTCTCATCTCAACTTGATTTCTTAAGATTTGCCTCCTTCAAAAAGCAAAAATGAAGAAAAGAAGAAATCCTCGTTAGCTGGATTCCAGTCCAGGGGGGCTTTCCCATACCAAGCCACACTGGAGAACCCTCCGGGCTCGTGAACATGCAGTCTGCAATCTGGACACCTTTTATTTAATTTCAAGAATTCCCTTTGCATGGCCAAAAGGGGTCTGAGGAAAGCAGAGCGGTGCAGATGAGGGGAAGGGCAGAAGCAGAGCGCTCACGAACGTGGTGCCAGGTGCTGGCTGCCCACTGTGCTCCCTGGCTGGGAGAGAAGCAGAATCGATGGGAGGAGCAGGAAAAGTCATTCTTGACACAAACAAGAGTCCTGGGGCATGCCACTCCACCCCAGTGCCTGGCCATGCAAGACGCAGAAATGGAGCCTGTGTCCCCTTGGGACCATGGAGCAGATGCACCAACACGAAAGGGAGTCCTTTGGGCGCCTCCTGGGGCGCCTGCAGGGTCTGGAGCATGGTAGGGTCTGTGTCCATGTCCGTGAGCATGGTCAGTTAACAGATAGCACCAGTTGGGAGGCTCAGGGCAGGAGAGAGACTGAGGGCTCTCAGACTCTAGCACCCACTTGCCTGGCCCTCCTGGAGAGACTCACTTCCTCGATGGCTGCTCCTGCAGCACGAGCCTCTCCCTCACCCCTCCGCCCTGGGAAACTGGAATAAATCATCAGGGTGAGGTCTGACCCAGGGCGCCAGCTGCCTCTGGAGGGCCAGGTCACTACTGTGCAGTGCAAAGATGCTGCTGCACCAGATGAGGGACTGGAGCGGGGGAGGGCAGGCTGGGGGCAGGGGGCCCTTCTGCCCAGGAGTGCCCACATAAGAAGAGCCTTTCAGAAGCACAACTTGGGGCATTTTGTCGCCAATCTGCTCCCCATTCCAAGTAAGCACATGAGTTGGCCCCCTGTTGCTTCTGATTATTTTTGGTGGGTCAGGGGACAGAGAGAGGAGAGAGACCAGAAGAGGCAAGGCCAGAGAGGTCTCTCAGACCACGGAGGTAGGCAGAGTGTGTGGTGGGGACACTGCGCTGGGGTGCAGAGCCTGGCCCAGCCCTGCCACTCTTTTTGTGTGACCTTGGGTAAACCATCTCAGCTGCAGCTCACTTTCCTGAGTTACCAAGTCAGGAAAACCCTACTCCACCTACCTCAGAGGGATAGGCTAAGGGCGAAATAGATAACGGATAGAAAACACGTTTAAAAAAGTATAAAGCGCTATTCAAACGCGAGGCAGTGTTGTCATCGGAGATGTTAGTAACCCTTAGCACATCCCTCACCTCACCGTCACCTTCCGCTTCCTTCTGCAGCGCCCCTTAACCCTAGGACCTTACTTCCTTATCTCAGAGGGTGCCCAGACTCCCCCGTTGCTTCCCCTGATCACAATCTGTGACCCCAAAGGCCAAATGGGCACACGAGCTGTCTGAGGGGGGTGCCCAAGGCCCCTCACCCCGTCGTTGTCCCTCTGGCACCCTCCCCGCGGGCAGCTGCTCAGCCGGCCCCTTGGTCCACCCTATGAGATGAGCTGGGCTGTCCATTTAGGCCAGACAGGTCTAGGGGACCCCTGCCCAACCCTCGGGGGACCCTGTCTGGAGTGCAATACCTGTTCCCGATTTCCAGCAGGTGGCGGGCAGAGGGAGGGGGAGAACCACAGGCAGGACGGTGGATCCTCAGGCTGCCCCCAGGCCCGCCTCCACCCCCTGCTCCTGCCGCCGGGCCCTCCCCGCCCCCAGCCCAGCCCTAGTCTCGCTCCGGCGGCGCCTGGAGGGGCCGCGGTGCGCCGAGGCCCGGGCCGCCGCTGTGCACGCGCAGGTGGTCCTTGAGAGACTCCTTGTAGCGGAAGCTCTTGCCGCACTCGCCGCATGTGTAGGGCCGCTCGCCCGTGTGGATGCGCTGGTGCTTGAGCAGGTTCTGCTTGCGGATGAAGCTCTTGCCGCAGAGCGCGCACTGGAAGGGCCGCTCGCCCGTGTGCAGCCGCTGGTGGTTCTGCAGGTGCTCCTTGCGGCTGTAGGTCTTCTCGCACTCGGAGCACTTGTAGGGCCGCTCGCCGCGGTGCGTCATCTGGTGGCGGATGAGGCCCGAGTGGCAGTTGAAGCTCTTCTCGCACTCGGCGCACTCGTACGGCCGCTCCTTGGTGTGGCTGCGGTGGTGGATGATGAGGCTCTTGCGCACGCCGAAGCTTTTGCCGCACTCGGGGCACGAGTAGGGCTTGCTGCGCGCACCGTGCAGGAGGAGGCTCCGCCGCAGGCCGCCCGGGCAGCAGCTGCCGCAGCCCCCGCCGCCGCCCGGGCCGCCGCCCGCACCGCCCCCGCCCGGGCCGCCGCCCGCGCCGCCCGGGCCCCGCCCGCGCCGCCACCCTCCCCGCCCGCCTGCGCCCGGCCGCGCCCCGCTCCCGGGCCGGCGCGGGAAGCCGTCGTCCAGCAGCCCGGCCGCGCCGCGGCTCGGGGCGCCGCCCGGGTTCTCGGCCGCCGGGAGCGGGGGCAGGCTCTGCGGAGCGGGCTGGGGCTGCGGCTGCGGCGGGGCGGGGGCGGGGTTCTTCACCATCAGCAGGCTGTCACCTGGGGAGGAGGAGACACGAAGAAGTGACATGCTCACGGTGCTCTGCCGCCGTCCCTGCGAGGGGGCCCAGGTCCTTAACTAACTTGCTCTGTGGCTTCGTGTGAGTCACAGGCTATCTGGGCCTCAGTTTCTCTAAAAAATGAGGGGATTGAACAAGGCAATGGGTCGTGTCCTGTATGGCTCTAGGGCTCCCTGACCCTCTGACCTGCCCAAAGCCGCCCGCTGCAGAGCACCAGCCGGCTGCAGAGCACCAGAAGCGGGTCCAGCAGGTAGCCCCCAGCTAGGAGAGGGAACCCCTCCACATTGGTGGGGCGGGGGTGGCTGGGGGCTATGCGGAAGGCAGAACTGCCTGGAAATAAGCCTTTATTGTATTCTGACGTCCAGGCTAATTTATCAAAGGAGAATCTCTCGACTGAAGAGAAAGAATTTGCCACAACTTCTCCAAGGTAAAAAGCCTGGTCTGGAGGTCTACCGGAACGGAAGGCAGGGAGCTGGGACCATGACCACCCTTCCCTTTGCAGTCGGGTTTCCACTAAGCACGTGGCCTTCAGACTTGTCAGCAGCACGGTAAGCTGGGTTGGTGTGAGTCCCACCCTGGTCCCCGACCCCACGAGCCTGGGGCTCTCCGTAGCCCTGTGTGGAAGTGGCTGCCCAGCCAGCCTCCCCAGGAAGCACTGATCTTGCTTCTGCAGTGATGCCTTTGCATTGCGCCCCCAAGTCCACACTTCTCCACTACTGAGGGGTCACAAGTCCAGGCTCTGAGCATCAGGGCAGGGACCTTGGGCCCAGGACTCCGCCTGCTGACTGAGGAACTGTTCTGTTTGCTGACTATATTCGGGAGCCTTCTCATTCCCAAACCTTCCCTCAGCTCCCGGATCGCCTGGTCATAGTCCTTCCTCCCTGGAGGAGCCCCTCCCCCGTTTAGGGGCAGCTGCAGAAGAAGGGTCAAGAAAGTGACGCTCGCGCTCTGTCCCCCATCTCTTGTCAGTATCGCTTTCAGTCCTCTGCCCAGGACCCTGGCGTCTGCTCCTGGAGGCCACTCCTCAGGCCACATCTGCCACGCTTCCACCCAACCCCCCTGCTCGTGGGAGGCTGACTGAGGCCTGTCCTCCTTACATGACATCCCTAAATAGACTGGGCCCAGCCAGCCCCTCTCTATCCCAATCAGAACCGACCTGGCAGAGAACCAGCTCCACAGGACACTGGCCAGGGGAGAGGCCAAAGTGGCTCTCCTGACTTCATCCAGGATGCCATCCCTCGGTCCTCTGGGACTGGCTCTGGCCTCTGGGGCAGCTGCACTGTGGGTGCTGCTTCCCCCTCTACCCAACCTGCTACTCTTGCTCCTTCAAAGGCGTTATTCTCAAGAGGACTCCCAGAAACCACGTGCAAGGAAACCTCCATCTCAGGGACTGTTTCCCAGGAAACCCAACTCAAAACAACCCTAATCCTTCTCTGATAATTCTTCAAACTCGGTGTGAGCATCAGTCCCCTTTTGCTACCGTCCCATCATGCCCCCTGACCTTTGTTCTCCCTTCCTGACCAGCTCTGCGGTCAACGCAGCTGTCACTTGCTATGAAACACCCTTAATGCCTCTGTCCCTTCTCTTCTGTTCTGCTTGCCTGGGGAACCCCAACACTGCGAGCGCACTCACGCAGCTGAGGATGGCTACAGAAAATCACACACATCTCAGAAGGGCCCCCCCCCCAGCCTGGCATCCCACCTCACTTCTCAGTGTGTCCCCCTTTCCCACTCTGCGAGGATTATGTCACACCTCCTCCAGCCTCTCACTCAGGGACTTTTACTCTGGAGCTCACTGGCTTAGTAACTGCGTCAGACATAAGCACGTGACGACATTCTGGGCGATGAGATGTGAGGAGGAGTTGGCCGGGAGGCTTCTGAGAAAGTTTCCTCACTCCTTAGAGAGAGCACAGGAAAAAGGATGGCCTTTCCTCTTCCTCTGGGTCTGGGTGTGATTGCTGGGAACAGCTGCGGCCATCTTGCCCAGTCCCGCCAAGGATGGCTGAGCAGACAGTTGGAAAGAACCTGGGTCCTTGATGACGAAGTTGTGTCCTCGAATCAACTGAGGCTGCAGTTGAACAACCTCTAGTTATGTAAGAGAACAAACGTCTTTACTCTTTCAGGCAATTTGAATCAGGGTTCTAGAGTGGTTGAGAACATCCTACCAGCCACAATGGTCCAGTATTTCCCACCTTAAAAGAACATCCTCCCTTGACCCCGTGGCTCCCCTGCTCCAGTTACCATCTCATCTTATTCCTCTGTTCCTTTTCACGGCAATATTCTGTAAGAGTTATCTATACTTGCTTTCACCACTTCTTCACCTCCCTTCTCTTTGAGACTACTACAATCGGGCATGTCCCAGCACGCCACTGAAACAGTTTTTGTCAAGGTTACCAACAACCTCCAACCTGCCAAATCCAAATGCCTCTTCCTGTCCTGCAAACTCAACCCCTCATCCCGTTTGACATAATTAACCCCTCCCTCTCTCTTGAGAGGTTCTCTTCTCCTGGCCTCTGTGACTCCATGCTCCTCTGGTTTGCTCCCAGCTCACACCTGGGGTCTCTTTAATTCTTTGTCTACACTCCCCCTAGATCTCATACAATCCTCAGCCTTAAAATAACCTCCATGTAACAATTTGGCAGGTCTGTGTCCTCAGTTCCTGGGCAGTAGGAGTGTCTTTGTTATTCGCGGTAGGCCCTGATGTTTACCCTGATGGTTTGCGATAATGAGGTGACTCATGGTGGGCCCCTAGATAGTTTAAGTTAACAAGATGACTCAGATTGGAGCTGGACATGCCAGAGACCAACCACATGATTAGAGGGTTGGGGCTTGGAGCCCAACCTCCAGGGAGGGAACAGGGGCTGGAGAATGAGTTCCACCTCATGGCCAATAATTCAATCAATCATACGTATGTAAAGAAGCCCCAATAAGAACTCTGGACACAGAAGCTCGGATAAACTTCTCTAGCAGGCAATATCCTGAGTATTGTCACAAGTCACTGCTGGGAGGGTGACACGCCTTACTCCAGGGGGAACAGACGACAGAAGCTTTGTGTTAAGGACTCTCCCAGGGTTGGTCCTGTGGATCTCTCCTTTTGGCTGGTTCTGATTTGAATCCTTTTGCTCTAATAAAACTAATTGTAAGTATAGTGCTTTCCTGAGTTCTGTGAGTTTTTCTAGTGGATTACTGAACCTGAGGGGTTAATTTGTGCCAGGTGATGAGAAGTGAGGGTGGTCTGGGGACCCCTGAACTTGCAGCTGGTGAGAGTAGTCTTGTGGAGGATGGGGCATTTCGTCTGGCTGGTTTGACCTAATTCCAGGTAGTTGGTGTCACAAGTCATTGCAACCTATAACTCCCTAACCAATCTAGTCCTGAGCTTTCTCTTGAACTTCAGACTCCCATGCTGATCTGCTACCTGACACTGCTACTTGGGTGTCATTTCAAACTTAACAGGTCCAAGGTAGAACACTTGATTTACACAGCCTAAGTAGTTCTTTTCAAGGGCTCGCAATTTTAGCAAAGAGACCTCCACTCACCCTGTTCTTCAGGACCCGAACCTAGGAGTCACTCTTGACTCCTCATCCACCACATACAATCCATCAGTTATATTTCCAAAGTACATCCTGAATCCGTCCACTTCTCTCCATGTGCACTGCTACCATCCAACTCTGACCAACTGTCACGTCTCCACCTGGTCTGTACCAACTCCGTTAGCTTCCTAAATCGTTTCCCTGTTTCTGGCTCTTGTTCCCCAACCTACTCCAGTCCATTCCTGAACTTCTCTTTTTAAAATGTAAGCCAGATCATGTCACTGCCCTGTTTAAGCCCTCTGTTAGGCTCCTTTCATATTAGAATAAAATCCAAACTCTAACTTGGCCCATAGGTCATAAGTGGTCAGGTTCCTCCCAGCCTATCACTCCAACCTCAGCCCCTGAAGCCACATGGCCTTTGCCCCCACCCTCCCTCTCTGGTCTTCTCTTCTCAAACAGTCCTATGGTCAACACACTATAGTATTTCTTCCCCAGTGAGGTCACTCCTGCCTTAGCCCTCCTGCCCCCACTCCCATCCTCCTGTTTTCCCTAAGTCGTTCTCATTTAGCACCCTCTGACTTTATCTTGTTTGCTGTTGGCTTGCTTATTCTCCATCACCATCCCACAAAAGGAAAGGTCCCTGGTCCTTCTTCACTGCTTATTCCAAGTGCTTGTCATACTGCAGGGCACAGAGTAGGCACTAAGTAGATATTTGTTAAATAATAGAAACTAAAAAAGGTTGGAACCACTGTTTTAACCCAAGGAAGTCAATAATGTGGGAATTTCAGGAGGGCGCTTTCAAATCAGGTTCTGTAAGTGTTGGCATCTAGGTAGGGTGGTTCAGCTCTAGGCTCCTGACCACCACTCACTCCAGAAGCACTTGGTAGCCACTGGACTCCAATGTCCTACTCATACTTCCTGCTTCGATGGCACCTCATGCACACTAAGTTTGGGTGAACTAGATTATTTTCCTGTCTTACACTAACTGTCAGAGAGCAGTTAGAGACTAATACATGCTTATTGATATATAAAATGAAGAATCCTTTTTACTAAAATGTAATGTCCAGTTAGGCTGAAGTCTGACTTTGAGTCAGACAGGACACCAGTAGGCTGGCCCAGTGGCATAGTGGTTAAGTTCACGTGCTCCACTTTGGCAGCCCCAGGTTCACAGGTTCGGATCCTGGGCATGTACCTACACTGCTCGTCAAGTCACGCTGTGGCAGCATCCCACATATAAAATAGAGGAAGACTGGCACAGATGTTAGCTCAAGCACAATCTTCCTCAAGCGAAAACAGGAAGATTGGCAACAGATGTTAGCTTAGGGCCAATCTTCCTCACATATACAAAAAAAAACAAACAAAAAAACAGGACACTAGGTCTTTCTCTTGCATATCCCAGGGCTGCGGAAGGAGGCTGGCAGGGACACACATCACATATTTCTGTGTTTTACTCTCTACCCGCACTGCCCTCTCCCCCTCCAAAGCCTCTCCAGAAGACCCTGCCACATGAGACCGTGTCTTACCCAAAGTCCATCCGGCAGCACTGAGAGACAAAGGTTGGGGCAGAATTTCCTGGCATGTTTCACGAACTGGTACCTACGCCTTCAAGGCCACAGCTAGAAACAGTGGCCTGGGCACTCTAGAGAATGAAGTGGAATCGACGGCTGTCACTTCTTCCTGTCCTCATGGTTAGTCTCCTGGCTTTCCCTGTCTCATCCCAGCCCACCAATAGGTTAGAAAGAGGACCACTTTAAATTCTATTTTAAACAAGGGCATACACTGTTCCTCTCCCATCCCTGCCCATTCCTCCGGCCCTACCCTGCTCCTCCAGACTGAACTAACTTGTCTCCGAGGGTGGGATCCTCTTACCTGAGCCTAAAATGGCCTTTCAGATCAGAAATAACCTATGTCCTCAGCTCTTACATGGCTTTTAAGCTCCTGGAACGTGTCAGGAGTATGGAAAAGGAACATATATTTAGCTGCCCCTTCAATACTCTAATTGACCAGAAGACACTAAGTCAGCTGTCCTGAGGGCAAGACGATGGTACTGGGTCTGGCAAGGAATGCTAGCCTGATGCTGAGAGTGTTAAATAATCTGTGAACACATGTCGGAGGTCACTGGCCAATAAATAGAGCATCAAGAAAGACCCAAGAGACCAAAGTCAGCGAGATGTTTGGTCCCATACCTGTTGGGGGAAAAGAAATCCCCTCTCCCTATTTGAGCATCAGTATCTCACCAGGCATGCTAGGATGTCAGCTCAGGGCTGCCTTGGGTCCTCTGGCCAGCGTTTCCTAGTATGTGAGCCACCTGCTGTCATCAACTCCTGCTCAGGCACCAGTGGCTCAGCTCTCTCCCAGCCCACTCTCCTTTCCCTGCTGCTATGGAGTGAATTATATCCCCCCAAAAAGATAAGTCAAAATCCAAGCCCCCAGTACCTCAGAATGCAAACTTATTTCAAAATAGGCTCTTTCCAGATGTATTTAGTTAAAGTGAGGTCACACTGGAGCAGGGTGGGCCCTGGTCCAGTATGGCTTGTGTCCTTATAAGACTACCAGGTGAAGACACAGACACAGCGAGAACACCATATGAAGACGAAGGATTGGGCTGATGCTCCCACAGGCCAAGGAATGCCAAAGATTGCCAACAAACACCAGAAGCTAGCAAGAGGCAAGCAAGGAGTCCCCGGCAGCTTTCCGAGAGGGCAGGGCCCTGCTGACCCCTGGATCTCAGACTTCCGGCCTCCAGAATGTGAGACAATACATTTCTGTTGTTGTAAGCCACCCAGTTGCGGTCCTTTAAGACAGCCCCAGGAAGTGAACACAGCTGCCATCCTCCAAAAGGAAAGGGGACAGTGCTTTGGTGCAGACCACTGGAAGGCTCCCATAGAGAACATCACCCTGTCAGGGGGTGGGCTGAGGTGAGAACCAACCCCCTGGACAAAATACCCAAGAGTCCCGGGGGCGCGTTACTCACTGGGGCCAGAATCTAATCCAAGCTCTCCTTCCATTGAGTCGCGTGGGCCCCACGGGTACGGCTGCTCCTCCTGCTTGATCCATGACAAAATGTCATGTGCTGAGATCAGAGACTCTGTTCATGGAAAGATGGCAGTCTTAGATTCTGTTCATTTCCGCTGAGCATCCTCTCAAAAAGGTTTGAAAACCACTACATGCAAACGCCACCGCTCCGACTCACAGGGCACGTGGCGGTTGTGTGTCTGTGTTTCATTTACCGGCCGTCCTCCTCCTGTCAAATGCCTTCATAAATGGGATCTCACTTGTGCTTGCTACATCTCAAATTGGCCAGAGAAGACGAGGCTCGTCCCAAAGTCTGTGCAGCGCTGGAGCCGGGATTAGAACCTAGTTCCTCCAGCTCTGTCACCGAGCCCCAGAGCAACCTGTGGTCCAGGACAGGTGGGGGAAGTCTGGTCTCTGAAGGCCCACGGGACTTGTGGATGAGTGGCAGGACTTAAGAATCAGCAATGGCAGAAGCAGCGAGCAAAGGTCATTGTAAGAACTGCAGTGGCGACTGCGGCCCGTTATCAGCAAGGGTCGGCCTTCCCTTCTGCCCTGGGCCCCTTGATTCCTCATTGTAAAGTGGCAGAACTGACAAACTACAAGGGATGCTAGACTTTACGTCTGGTCTTCTCCTCCTGGGATGTGGGGTGGGATGAGACTTTGGGGTCATAACTAGCAAGTGAGATGACATTGGATTTCTCCAGCTCTGTGAGCCTATGTGAACACACAGACACACACACACACACATACACATGGCCCCAGGCGGGTGCAGCTGTCCTATTGTTCTTTTATGCTTCCCTATGTGCCTGTACCCTCCCTACAAGTTTCATGGAAGATATCTAACTAGTTAGTATTTATTTAAGAAAAATTCCAGAAAAATGGCAATTTCTTTCTTTCTGTCACAGAAATATACACAACTTTTAAAAGGCTTTTTGGTTATATTTATTGTTCAAAAATCAATGCTGAAATAATTTTAGTATCACTTACACTGACACAACAAATTATCAATTTAATGATTTCTTTAAAAAGATCCCCTCCACTTTACTAATGGCTATATCCCAAAATCTGTACAAAGTCACTAACTGAGGAACATGTTGTATTTTATTCTCTGAGCCTCTTATCGACCTTTAACCAAATATGACTCAGTCAGCTTGATTTCCCACCACTTACGAAAGGCGGCCAAGGGGCTGCCCGTCCTTGATGTCCACTCTGGCATCTCGCTCACCTGAATTGGGGTCCGTTGGAATATCTCTCTCTGCCAAATCCTGCTGATCCCACACGCACGGGTGCTCCTCCTGTTTAATCCGGGACAGGAGGTCCTGGGCAGAGGCTGGTGAGTCTGCTTGTGGGACAGAGCAGCACAGGCGTTAGGGAACACGAAAAGGCCCACAAGGTGATGCTTTCAATACATCTCTCACTTCATACAATTATTTCTTTTCCTTAAAAATCAGGTATAATTAAATTATATGCTAATTAATTATAGGTTTAAGTCAGCTTGGCCCCAATTAATGGGACTTTTGCTGCAAATAAGTGGATACTATGGGGGAGGGACATAACGATGACCTCAGGAACATCTTTCTGTGCTTCAGAAACTGACATCCTTAGAGTGAGGTTCATGCTCGAGTACTGAGCACCACCACGGAAAGAGGTACTCCTCACGAGGTGACTTTCCAGGAAAGCAGCACCCTCCACAAAGCCTTTGATCCTAAACATTTTAACAAGATTTTTCTAAGATGTATCCTACATCTTCTTTCTTCTGCAGTCTATTAAACCTCATTGGCCCTTTATTGCCTCCTTCTCTCTTAAAGATCTCTTTGAAGACAGAAACACCATGATGCTTTCCAGGAACATGCCCGATAACAACAGCATGGGCTTTCCTCTGCTTAGAGTCTGTTGTCCCTGACCTATGACTAAGGGGGGTGAGGTTTGTGGAGCTCTCACCTGTAGATAAGTAAAGAGCTACAGTACGTTCATTTATCTGTGATGGTTAATTTTATGTGTCCGCTTGGCTGGCACAGTACCCAGATATTTAGCCAAACATTCTAGATGTTTCTGTGAAGGCATTTTTTTAGATGAGATTAATATTTAAATTGATAGACTTTGAATAAAGCAGATTACCCTCCATAACACAGGTGGGGCTCATCCCACCAGCTGAAGGGCTTAATAGAAAAAGACTGACCTCCCCCGAGGAAGAGAGAATCCAGCCAGCAGACTGCTTGGGTCTCCAGCCTGCCAGCCCACCCTGCGGATTCTGGACATACCAGCCTCCACAATCTGAGAAGCCAATTCCTTAAAACCAGACAATCGATCAATCTGTCTCTCTCCACACAAACACACACACAATCAATCTGTCTCTACACACACACACACACATTCCCTCCCCCTACTGGTTCTCTGGAGAACTCTGACTAATATACATCTGTTCTACCAGAGTTCTCGCATACAGAGTCCAGCTGGCATGCCATCTAAGACACACTATCTGGTCTACCCCGCAGGCCTGCAGCCGTGCGGGTGCCTGGCACAGAGGCAGCAGCCTGTAAATACTCGTGTAAAACAGCGACAGCTCTTCCCGGTCAGGAGCAGGTCTTATGGACCACTACATTCCCTTACCCACAGAGCCGCGTAAAGCGCCTTATACTCAGTACTTCTGCCCTGATATTGCTTTTCGAGGAGAGGAAGGAATAGTTAAAAACTGATATTACAAAGAAAAGAGGAAACAGAACAAGCTAAGCCCAGATGGGCCTGCAAATCATCAGTGCCGTGTGCCATGTTTGTGCCATGGGAAAATCCTGTTTCTCTGCCCCTCCTGGATCCACAGCTCTTCCATTCCCAGCTCGCGCGTCGGCCTGGCACACACGACAGACAGAGCTGGGGGCCTGCAGACCTGCTGGACCTTGCCTCTCCCGTCCAGGTTTGGGAGGCTACTCAGTCACTCACCAGAAATGGCCTCTGTGGGGATGGCCCTCTCCTCCAGGACCCGCTGGCCCCGGACACACAGGGACTCCTCCCGCTTCACCTGAGAGGATGCGTCCTGTGCAGACACCAGGGGTTCTGTTCCTGGAGACAGAGAATCACATCACCTGGTGTCTTTTTTCTGAATGACTGTCACCCGGACATTCTTGGGGTCAGGAGTACAGCTGACAGCACTTGCCAGGGAAGAGCACAGGGGTCTCGGGTTCCTGTGGGTGACTGCAGGGTACCCCAAGGAGCAGAAGGTCCTACTTGCAGAGAAGTGATCAACATTCAGGACAAATGAATGTTTGAAAGGCGTAGGCCAAGCAACTAAATGAGGTGAGATAAGGTGGGGAGAGAGTTCTGGGAACAGCCCCATGTTGTGTTGGGTGCTAATCAGGATGAGGCCATAAGTTTGACCTCTGTGTAGGAGTCATCTGTCCTTGTTTTTCACCCCAGTCAGAAAGAGTTGGCCAGACACAGACACACACGCTCACACACATACGCACTCACTCACACATACATATGTGATTAGTAAGAAGTTAGACTGGGCAAAGAGATGCAACCCAGCCTCATTTTTGGATGGATAATGCACAGCATCCTTATACATGAAAGACAATGACATATCTTCTATGTAGACCCCAAGACAAGACAAAAAGGACATTTTCCTCTTATGATGGTCTATGGTGTGACGTACTAGCCTGGCAGGAGACAGCTCAGGCAGCAGGAAAGCGACTAGATGAGAAATGGAAGACGTGAATCCTGGTTTCAACCCCCAGCCCAGCAGATGAGTCACTTGACCGGTCTGGCTCTCAGTGTGCTCACTGCATCCACAAAATGGGCATAACGGTCCCTGTTCCATCTCGCACACAGCGATGGATAATAACTCAGCGGAACCATTGAGGTTACAGTGCTTTAAGTGTGAGAGGTTACCACGGCTGCTGACCTCAAACACCTGCACTGCTTGAAGATGGGGACCGAGCCATTTAGATGAAATGTTCAGAAGAGGCAAATCCGCAGACACAGAGTCGACTGGTGGTTGCCAGGGGTTGGGGAGGAAAGGGAAATGAGAGGGACTGCTAATGGGGATGGGGTTTCCTATGATGAAAAGGTTCTAGAATTAGATGGTGATAACGGTTGCACAACTCTATGAACCACTGAATTACACACTTTAAAAGAGTGAATTTACGTATGTGAATTATATCTCAATAAAGAGAAATGACTGGGAGGGAGGGGGCTGTCCTGGAGCTGACTTCTAAGGGAAGTTTCAGTGACAATGCTCTCCTCTTAGAAAGGAGGAGGACAGAGGGCACAGACAGGTGAAAGTTCATACGATAAGGGAGAGAATACAGTGAGAGTACCACATTTCACCCGGTCCAACTCTGCACAAGAGAGTTGAGGCCCTGAGAAAAGACCCCAAGGGCAGAGCTGGGACTGGAACCCTAGCACCTTCCATCCCAGGCGGAAATGCTGACCAAGTGTAATGCTCTCAGAAAGTGGATTTTCTCAAGACAAATGATTCCTTCTTGAGTGAGGAGAAAGCCCTGAGGGGTAAGTCTGCCTGTGATGTACGGGTCTGTGTGAGAACGGGATGATGATATGGAGATACTAACTAAGCAGGAAGCACTAGGCCGCAGCAAACTGTGTCCGTGCAGACTCCCTTCCACCCTCTTGTCCACCTGACTTGGGCTGGGCCCAGGCTGCTCCCAGGCCTCGGGTCACTTACTGTTGGTTGCTGCCAGGCCTGGGAGGCTGCAAGCCTGGCCTTCCTCTTCTCTTCACCCAGCTCACCTAGGCATCCAGAGCTGCATGGCTCTAACCCAAAAGACAAACATCCATGTGCACTTCCGAGCCCTACAATCTCTCCCTGACAAATTTCAATAGCAGCAGAACCACAAGCAACTCAAGAGAAGCCCTCCTGAACTCACACAGGGGTGGCAGGGCTTCTAGCCTGCCCCGCCCTGGACCCAGGGCCCTTTCCAGCTGCCATCACCTGTGTCTGGATCCATTAGGATTTCTCTCTCTTCTGGATCTCGTTGCTCCCACATGCAAGGCTCTTCCCTGGGCTCAGCCTGGGTTGGAGCATCTGGCTTGGGCACTGGACCCTCCGAGTCTGGAATGAGTTGGAAGGGAAGGAAGGACTGAGTGAAGTCGACCAATGGGTCCCAATGAAGGGCAGTGGCAGGACTCTCCCCTCTCCCAACTCTCCCTGCCCGCCGGAGTGCCCCTCTAGGTGGTAGCAATTATGTGAGTGTGTCAGGTGACCTCTTATGAGGAACCTTGAAAACAAGTCAACAGATCCCCCAATTTGTGGTGTAGAAAAAGGTGGTCTCTGAAAGCCAACAGCAGACTGTGGCTCATCCAAGGCTGTTGGGATGTAGTGTGTAGTGAAGTGCAAATGATGCTATTTGTATTCCAAAATAAGGAGTAACATAGCGTTCAATTCTATAGTGATAGGCTCTATAACTGGGTTTTTAATTTTCATCCTATTACAAATCGTTCTATCTTCCTAGCATTATAACAAACAGTTTCTTGAGTTTCCATTAGGTATAGACATGCAACACCTTGCCCAGGTGGTGTGAAGATGGGTTGATAAGCATTTCACTCCCCTCTCCAGGGGCTGCTCACCACAGAGGAGGGAAGGTGTCCTTACCCAGGGACATCAGGGTTTTATAGTTCTCCTTCACAAGGTTGTTGTAAAGCTCCTTCTGCCATTCGTCCAAGTTCTTCCACTCGTCCTCAGAGAAGTAAACAGCAATGTCGACAAAAGTCACCGGAACCTAGGCCAACAAGAGCTTTACTCGGGTCCCTCCTGCTTGCTTCTCCCCCCACCCTCCCTTCACAGGCCACGGGCCCATTCTGCCCCAGAACCTGCCTTTGCTGTCCAGGGCCCCCCATCCTCCAAATCCCAGCCCCGTCCATTCCAACGGAGTCGCTCCACCCTATTCCCGATCTTCTCGTGCTTCCAAAACAATGATGGCCAACACTGCCTTTTATTTTTAAACATTTTACCATATCCTTTGTAATTTCACTTTTAGGTAAACTGGGTCCCTAAGCATAGACCTGAAGTCAGTGTGCGGCTTGTGGCACTCAGGGTGACAGAGCCGTGGTAGGATCTCAGTAGGTATCAGTGAGCCAAAGACATAAAACCCTGTTATAAAACTGTATTTCTGGTCAGGTCACCTCTGGTAAACAGTAATATTTTTGTCATTAAACATGTAAAATCTAAAGGCATGTGCGAAAACTCCAGGATCTGGCTCTGTTTTGTTCACCGCCATATCCCAAGCATCCAGAAGCACACAGTTTGGAGCCAGTAAACATTTGTTGGGTGGGTTGAATAGTACCACCAATACTAGGAAGTTCCACTGCAGCCTGAGTCAGCCATCATCTAACGTTGGTGGCTTGTTATTCCAGGTAGTCTCATCTGTTACAGAAAGCTCTTATTTCAATTTGACAAGGATCCTTGTCTGTACTCATATCAGTCACTCACCAGCATGGCCTCAACTTGGACCAAGTGGCTCAAAATGGTTTCACTTCCATGACCTTAATAACTGAACTTCCCTTCTCCGACCACAGAGCCTTACCTCCCACCACTTTCACATCCCTCCTGGACCAGCCCTTCACTCTCACTCTGAAATCCAACCCCTCAATTCTCCCTCAAGCCCTAATTCTAGTTGATCAGTCTTGGTACCTGCACATACAAGGCCAAAGATCACCTATATGGCACCTTGTCCGACTTCTTAGAAAAATACAGTCCTCTGGGCACGAGGCCCACAGGTGCACAGGGGGGTGAGTGGGCAACACCTTTACATGGGTCAGAAACGCCAGCCCTTGCATCAGGTGCTTATGCCTTAAGGGCATCCTATGCACACCGCTTGCCACCTACTGACTGCTGGCTCATCAGCCATCTTTGGAAACAGAACCAGAATTTCTAGTTCCCTGGACCTTCTGCCAGACTTGGGCAAATCCCCAACCTGGGAAAACTGACCACTCTCCTCATTTTAATTCCCTGCTGCTAGATAAAAGTCCCAAAATTCTTCACTGCTTCCTCTTCCTCCCCCAAGACCAAGGTCCTGCCCTTGCCCTTCCCTGTTCCTTCACTGTTTCCTTGGCAATTTCACTCCTTTCACAACTTCAATGATTACCTCTTTGCAGATGACACTCTTCAACTTTCCTTGCTCCCTTCAAAGTCCACATTTCAACAGCCTTCTGCGTGGCTCCATCTAATCATCTTTTAAGTACCTCAAACTAAATGTACCCAAAACCAAGTTCATTAGCTTTTCCAACATGCCAACTCCTCTGCCTCACTTCACCATTTCTGTGGAGGGTCAAAACTGTGGAGTCACATTCTCACAGTGGAATAGCCATCACTTTGGAAAAAGCCCCCATGCCAGGATACAGTGGGAGTCTGAGACGTGGTCCAAGACGGCAGGGAGCCTACAGTCCAGCTGGACGGATAAGACTATCCATGAGTTATCTGTGAACCACTTAACAAACACAACAGGATCCAAGAGGCACAGAGGATCTGAGAGACGATCAGCCTTCCTTGAATCTGACAAGGAGGATGCATCTAGCACGGCCAAGAGTACACAATGAATTAGAACTACTGTCAGCAATCATAATTAACATTCTTTATGGTTTATGTCCATAAGTTCTTTGATAGTCCCTTCAAAAAACAGAGCCTCATTCTCCTCCCCTTGAGTGTGGGCAGAATTTAGTGACTCGCTTCTAACAAATAAATGAAGAGGTGATAGTGACAACGTCTGAGATTAGGTCATTAAAGACATTGCAGCCTCCACACTGGTCTCTCTCTTTTGGATCACTCACTTTGGGGGAAGCCAGCTGCCATGTCATGAGAATGCTCAAGCAGCTGTGTGGGGCGGCACACACAGTGAGGAACTAAAGCTTCCTGCCCACAGCCAAGTGACTGAGCCATCCTGGAAGTGGACCCTCCAGCCCCAGTCAAGCCTTCAGATGACCACAGCCCCAGTCAAGAGCTTGACTATAACTTTATGAGACTTCCAGCCAAATCACCCAACTAAGCTGCTCCCAAATTCCTGACCCACCAAAACTGCAAAATGATAAATAATAATTTTTTAGCCTGCTAAGTTTTGGGGTAATTTGTTAAACAGCAAGAGATAAATAATACACATAATACAACAGGATGGTGTTGTCCCATCAACAAAATCAGTTAATCCTCACAACTCCATCCAGTAAGCATATCATCATCTTGACGTTACAGATGAGAACGCTGAAATTCAGAGGGACCATCTGGGAATTATTTATTTATACTTCACCTTTTTCAAAAGAGGAATTGAGGAGGCTCAGAGACAACAAAAAACATACCCGACCAGGAAAACCAGTGCATGGCAAAGCCAAGGTTCACACCCCAGTCCTCTGATTCCAGATCCCAGGACCACTCCATCATTCCGTGAGGGCACACGTCAACTCAAGACTCCTGACGCCTGATCCAATGCACACAACACCCAATGGTGCCAAGTGAGGACACAGCGCCCAGTTACAACATGCCACACAGACAAGAGGAAAGGGCAGTGTGTAAGGAGACCTGATTGTGCCGGACAAGCAACATAAGCCAAACCACACGGAAAACGAGGCCCTGTGGGCTGCAGGGGCAGGGAGCATTTTAGGGAGGAACCAGAGCCACTATTGCAAGTCAGCTCCGTGAAGCCGCAATCAATCACTGTTAAACAAGTCCTCGGCAAAATCACTGGGTTGGTCGCCTCAGCAGATTCAAAGACACAGAAGACCCGGCTCCTTACATGCAAGTGTGAGCTGTCCAGCTGGAAGGAGTCACTCGGCAAATATTTTTTGCATATCGACTATAAGCCAGGTACCATCACAGCCACGGAGACACATCAGTGAACCAAGCAGAATTTACATTCTGGTTGCAGAAAATCAACCAAGAAGACAAAAAAGGAAGTAAATATTTAAGATGGCTTGTGGCACAAGTGCTTTGGAGAAAATGAGAGCAAGGACAAGGAAGAGTGTCCTGGGGGTGGGGTGACATCATTCTTTTGTATTGGGTGGCCACAGAAGGACACACTGATCAAGTGACAACCGAGCAGCTACCCAGGGAAGGAGCTTTTACAGTGGAGGAAAGTCCCTGAGGTGGGACTGTGTGGTGTGCTGGCAGAACCGCAAGAGGCCGGTGAGCTGGAGGAGTAGACAAGAGGGAGTGGAGTGGAGATGAGGACGGAAAGGTGCGGCTGGAGAGAAAGGGCCACTGACAGAACAGGGGCTTTCATGGTGAATACGACAGGAACCCATTTGGGGGTTTTAAGCAGAGGTGTAATATGACTGATTTATATTTTAAAAGGCTCACTCTGGGCCGGCCTGGTGGCACAGCAGTTAATTTCGCACGTTCCGCTTCTCGGCGGACCGGGGTTCACCGGTTCGGATCCCAGGTACGGACATGGCACCACTTGGCATGCCATGCTGCGGTAGGCGTCCCACATATAAAGTGGAGGAAGATGCGCGTGGAGTTAGCTCAGGGCTAGGCTTCCTCAGCAAAAAGAAGAGGATTGGCAGCAGTTAGCTCAGGGCTAATCTTCCTCACAAAAAAAAAAAAAAGGCTCACTCCGATTGCTCTGCTGAGAATAGATTATATGGGGTGGGGGACAAGGACAGAGACAAGGAGACCAGGCAGGAGGCCACGGTAATAATCAGATGAGAGGTGATGGTGTCTCTGACTAGACAATGGCAGGATTAGTGGAGGTGGGGAGGGGTGGTCAGACTGGCTATATTTTGAAGAAAAATCAGACAGTGTTTATCGGAAGTATATATATTGGAAGAAGGGCGTGAGAAAGAGAGGAGGCAACTATGACTCCAAGGCTTCTGGCTTGAGCAACTGGAAGGATGGAGCCGTCTTCAGCAGAGATGAGAACGACTTTGTATACAACAGGTTTCAGGTGGAAGATCAAGGGGTCAGTTTGGTCACGTTAAACGTAAGCTATTTACTGATGTCTTGATGGAGATGCTGAATTAGCAGTTGGGAATGTGAATCAAGAAGGAAGTCTGAGCAAGATACAGAGAAAGAGTGGGAAGAAAAGACTGCATTTGAGAGTTGACAGCACACAGGCTGCATTTAAAACCCTGAGACTGGATGAAATCACAAGGGAAGGAGTGTAGACAACGAGCAAAACCTCAAGACCAAGCCCTGGACCACTGCAAACATAAGAAGTCAGGAAAAGGAGGTGGAACCAGCGAAGAAGACTGAGAAGGAGCAGCTGGTGAGGTGGGAAAAGAATCAAGAGAGGTGCCCCGGAGTCACCGGAGAAGGTTTTTCAAGGTGGGACTGGTCACCTGCACGAAATGCTGCTGACAGGCAGGGAGGATGAAGACTGAGAACCAACCACTGGCTTTAATACCATGGACATCATTAGGGCTTTGGCAAGACCAATAGGATGGAGAGGTGGGTGACTGGCATGGGTGCCAAGGAGAATGATCCGATTACCAATTTACTGAAATACTGAGAATAGAGGAACACATTAAATGAGACCACAGAGGATGCAATCAGTGGAATCCAGACAGTGAGAAACTCAACAGGATGGACAGCCTAGTTTCTTCCACAGAGAAACTGCAAGGAAAACTGAAAGAGATGGAGGAGGAACCTATAGACTAAAAAAAAGACTTAAGAGACATAGAAATCACAATTTGTAGACTTTAAGTTCTGACTCAAACAAATAGAAAAAAAAATTATTGGGGGCCGACCCAGTGGCATAGTAATTAAGTTCGCGTACTCTGCATCAGTGGCCTAGGGTTTGCAGGTTCAGATCCCAGGTGTGGACCTGTGTACCACTCATCAAGCCATGCTGTGGCTACATCCCACATATAAAATAGAGAAAAACTGGCACTGATGTTAGCTCAGGGACAATCTTCCTCACCAAAAAAAAAAATTATAACATTTTTGGAAGAAGTGAACATTTAAACACCAATTAGATATTGGAGTAGGTTGAGGTTTTTGTTATGGTGGTGATAATATTGAGATTATTATTTTTTAAAAAGAGTTTTGACCTTTTTGCTACATACTGAAATATTTACAAATACAATGATTTCTATCTAATATTTGCTTCACAAAATAAAATGGAAGGGGAACATGGGTGGGAATTTAGAGGAAATAAGATTGGTCAAGAGTTGATAAGTATTGAAGCTGGATGACGGGTTCATGAGGGTTTGTTACACTATTCTATTTACTTTTGCATATGTTTGCATTTTCTATAATAAAAAGGTTAAAAAAGGATAGGAGAGAAAATGGGGAAGAAAGAACTGGAGAGAGCAAACATAGACTACCCATTTAAGGAATTCTGTGCTAAAGAGGAGCAGAGAAACGTGGCACTAAGCAGAAGAGATGCAGGGTCTGCGGAGGGTTATTCTTAGAGACGGGCAATGTTCCACAGCCGTCTTCTCACAGTCGGCTGGTGGGAAGCAACCGGTAGAGAGGGAAAAGTTGACGATGCAGAGGAGAAGGTAGAAAACCCCCAGCGATGTCCTGCAGTTAGTGCAGGGAGGAGGACGAGCCCACAGTACCAGGGAGGGCAGGGGACACGAGGCAGGTGGACAGAGGAATGTGGTAGCTACATGTGAAGTCCCTTTTGAGTGACTCCGGTTTCTCAGTGGACTAGAAAGAAGGGTCTTCGACTGAGAGGGCAGTGTAGATGAGCCGGGGGGAGTAGGGGAGTGAATGGAAGAGGAAATGGAGCAGGAATTAGGAACTGTGACAGGGCCCACCAGAGGGTCGTGGTGGTGACTCTCAAGAGATTCCAGACAGTGTGGTTTTGGGTCTGTCTCAACCAAATTCAGACGAGCATAGACAAAGCTAACCAATGACAAATGGTCGTTTGTAGGTGCCAAGTGGAAAACCCAAGCACCAAGAGCTGCAGGAGTTTGCAGACACCCAGCCACCTCAGGGAGGGGCTGGAAACAGTGACAGTAAAGACTCAATGACAGAGACATGCAGGCTCTGTGGGACACTGTGGATGCCAGCCTCACCGAGGTAGAACATTCTAGACTAGGCTGTTCAAGTGGAGACAGGCTTTAAGAAGACACTGAAATTAAACAACAGGGAGCTAGAGAAGTTCATGAGAAGGACCGACAGGATCAGATCAAGAGTTCTGTTCACATGTGCTGGTCCTCACCTCCATCCCTGCCCCTAGGGACTGCCACATACCTTGGGGACCTCCCCCTTGCTGCCCGGGGGCAGCCGCAGGACCCAGAAGTTCCTGTTCCTCAGCAGGTTCTCCATGTTCTCCAGCCGCCTCTGCAGCAGCCCGTACTCCTGCAGCAGGGTCCCCAGCACGGCCCACTTGCTCTCCATGTGGTTCCCGAACTCCACAGCCGTCTTCTCACAGTCGGCCAGCTTCTTCTCGGCTGTCCCCGTCCGTCCCTCCAGATTCAGCAGCTGGCTGGCCTGGGCATCCACCTTCCTCTCCACGGCCTGAATGGCGGCCACCACGGTCCAGAGTGAGATCTCTGCTGTGGGCAGCTGGGGCTCTCTCATCATGCGGTCAGGGAAGACGGGGGCCCTATCTGGGAAGGGTGGGAACTGAAAAGGCATTGGTCGCCGGGCGTCCATGTCCCATTCTTGAGCCTGTGTGCAGAGGGAGAAAGTGATAGCCTGGGATGAGACCCTGTGGGGGGGGGGGGGGTGGCCTGAGAGCAGGGGACAACTAATCAAATGCCACAGATTCTCGTTCTTCTGCCAAGCCCCGCCTCTCAGGCTGTGGTGTTCAGTAATGTCCCAGCCACAGCTCGAGCAGCCACCCACCCAACCTCCGCATTTCCTGCCTGCAAGAGTCAGGCTGGTCACTGTTTACCCACCTCAACCCTTGGCAAGTCAAGGCCATGGACCCTGGCCTAAAACATCATATACCACTTTCTTTGATGAGAACAGCTGCTTTCTTCAAGGCTAGACTTAGTGATGGACTCTTTAGGGTGCCTAGTGTTTTCTGTTTCAAAGTAAGAATTTTCATGGAAGTCATCTGACCCTAATCTTCCCAGCAATCTCTAAGCAAGTTAAGGCAAGAATGATTATCTCCGCTTTAAAGATGATAAAATGGAGGCACAGAGAAGGAGCTGGTCATTCCACAACATCTCACTTCATGTCAACTGGAGCAGCCCTATGAGCTGCAGGTAACAAAAAGCACAGTTCAGGTAAGTGTGCTGCCACCACTTCCAGCAGGGCCACGGCCAAGGGAGACACCAGAGAGCCCAAGCAAGAGAGTAGACAAGCAGCCTTCTTCCATATACAACTATTTACTCATATTTTCCAAAGTGAAAATAGATTTGCAAAAACCTGTCACTTACTGCAGAAAGGAGGAGGGGACATCCCTAAGAGGAAGAGTAGACCTCCCAGCCCCCTCCCTGCTTCCTCGGGGAGCAGTACCCCATGGCCCAGGGCCTCCCCCCAGCTCTCAGCTCCCTCATCCTGGAAGGGAAAGGTGCAGGTTGGGAGCTGAGCCCTATGACCAAGAGAGGGTGGTCACAATTCACCGGTGACCTGGGAACTGGCCTTGTACTGTACCAGCTTACTGGACAACAGCAGGGCTGATAACCGCCTCTCCTTGCCACGTGGGCTGCGAGGTGGGGTCATTTTCTGTTTTCCCTGTTGCTGCTGAAGAGGCCCTCAGGCTGGGCAAAGTGGAGGCCTGCTGCTTAGAGGTGACCTGGACAGGCCAGGGACAGGCATGCCAGCTGCCCTCCACAACCTGGAGCAGCTGTGACAGCCACAGAGGGACACCCCACAGCTTCCAGGGAATCTCTCCAGGACATGGGTGAGAGGAGAGCAGGGCCCTGGGCCCCAGACCCTGCTACTTCAGAGGCAGCAGTATTTCCATCAAAGCCGCCCACTTGGGCTAATTCAGGCTTCACTCCTGCCTGGCCCACAGAAGGGGACAAGGGCTGGCAGGGGAAGTTTAGAAAGTCCCTGGGCCCAGTTTCCTTCTCGCAGGTTTGGAGACCTAAAGCTGAAAAACGATCAAATACAACACAGCAACTCCTGGCCGACTTGTCAGAACCAGGCCACCAGCACGCGTCCAGCCCGCGGTCAGCTCCCACGCTCTCCCCGTGGGAAAGCTCCCACAGGCCTCACTCCTCGTGTCTTACACAAGATTCTGGGGCACTGGTTCTCAAACTGGTCTGCTCCTTAAGATCCTCAGGGAGTTTTAAGAAATGACTGCATCGTGCTCTCAACCCCAGAGAGGCTGATGTAACTGGTTTGGGACAAGGCTTGGACGTGAGGATTCTTAAAAGCTGCTCAGGTGATTCTAACGTGCAGCCAAGTTTGCCAACCACTGGAAAGAAGGCAAAGCCACCTCTCGATGGCCCCTTCTCCCTGCCACACCCGGGGCGAGGGAAAAGTGAATTCTTCGGTGTACCGGGTGAAAGCTGGCAACACAGCAGGGCAATCCCGTTCCGTCGGAGCGCCTGCAGTGTACACCCGAGGGCCACTCGGTGCGCAGCCGGCCCCGGCCCGAGCGCGCCGCAAACCCGGGCCGGGCTGTGACGCGGCCGCGGCTCCGCCAGCTGCCGGGCCCCGCGCGCTGCGGGCTCCCGCCCCGCGGGGCCTCCTCCGGTGCCGGCGCCGGGCCCGGCCGGCACGCGGCCTCGGGGCCCTGCTGCTTAGCGGCGCGCGGGCCGGGCCTGCGAGGGGCGAGGAGCGAGGGGTGAGGGGCGCGGGGCGCGGGCTGTGGGCTGCGGGCTGCGGGCCGGGCCTGCGGCGCGAGCCCGCCCTGCCCTGCCCGGCCGGCCCCCGGGGCCTCCGCCCCACGCCGCCCGCCACGGCCCTCTGGCGCCCGCGGCCGCCCCGCGCCGGTGCCCGCAGCCCGCGCCCCGCCCCCAAGGCCCGGCGGCGCGGCCATGGCGCTGGGCGGGGGCTGCACCCACCTGCATGGGCGGCATTCCCTCGGCCATTTCCCCGCGCAGCGCCGGCTCCTGGTGGCAGACCTCCTCCGGGGGCAGAGCCTGGGCCCAGCTCCAGCTCCCGCTGTCCAGCCCCAGGCCCTGGATGCCCAGCTGCTGAGGCTGCGGCCGTGTTGACACAAACTGCATCCTGGGAGTGCTGTTCCCCGCTCGGGCCGGCCAGGGAGAGGAAGAACGTTTTCCAGGCGCCTTCCCCCTCGCCGGGGCCGGACAGCTCCATCTACAGCCCGTAGGAGCAAACAGTCCCCTTTGGCGGCGCTCCCCGCCCCTCCGCCGCCAGCGCGCCAGCCAATGGCTTCCGAGCTCCTGCCCTCCTGCGGGGACTGCCGGGGCCGCTCCGGGGCCTCCAAAGTGGCCCTGGGCGGATATGCTCGTTAGAGCCCCTCAGTCTGGGATGGCCTGCCCTGAAGTCCCAAACAATGCAGGGGCCTGAACCGTGGGCTTGATTTCTGTTAATGCTGCAAATACATATTGGGCATCCCAAGGGAAAATGGTGCCTGACCATTGAAAATTTTGCAAGAGTAATTGTGTCTCCAGATTCTTCTGGCCGGTCCCCTTCCCTCACTCCTTTGCGGGCTTGACCTCCCCACTCTTCCTCTTCCCAAGCCAAATTTACCTGGATCGGTTCCAGGCCTTTGCACTGGTCTGGATGATAAAGAAGTGATCTGGGCTAATGTGTCACAAGAGGGCCAAACTCTCCCTCCCAGATAAGGTGCGCTGCGTTTTAAGAGCAGCCTCTTCCAAAATCTTTAAATACAGGTCAACATCACTTTCAAGCGTAGGGCCAAGGCAGAGGAGAGACCAGGGAGAGGCCAGGGTAGGCTGATGGAGAGGATGGGGAGGGGGAGGGTCATGCATTCATTCCAGGAGTGTCTACTGAGTACCTGCTGTGTGCAGGCGCTGCTCAGGCAGAGGGTGGGCTTTGCAGGTGGATACACCTGAGTTTAAATTCCAAACTCCCCACTCACTAGCTGTGACTGTGAGCGATTTATTTAACTTCTCTGAGCTTCAGTAGGTCTCTTCTGATGCCTGTTCCACAGCTGTAAAATCAAATGAGATGAGAACAGTGAGAACACTACATAGTAGGCGCTCAACAAGGGTAGTTACCCCCAAAAGGCAAGTCCTTGTAATAATCCTCAGAATAGTGTCTACTCTGTCTTCCTAAATGACTAGGCCCTGCCTTGTTACGACAGAGACCTCCAAGGCTTATCGCCCTGTGCAGAGGCAGACCAGCCACAGAACGACCCTAGAGTGGTACCCTTGTGTTCCAATGCACCTAATAATAAAGGGCCTTATTGGCCCGAGTGAGACATGCGCTTAGAGTGCCATATGCAGGACAATTATCACACACCTTCTCTGTTAGGCACCCTTCCAGGACACAGAATGAGTATCTCATGGACTTAGAACCATCCTCAGGGAGCTTACAGGCTAGTGAAGGTTATGTTCCCAGAAGTCAGGGCTCTCCTTCCCTCTGTCCCCTGGCCAAGGGCTGCCCTCGTGATTGTAAATATCATGTCCACATTATTAGGGGGACCAGGCAAGTGGAGCTGGACATATCCAGATAAATTCATCTTCACCAGCAAGACATCTCAGAGCACACTTTCTGACCCACAGATCATTAACCATCTTCCCTCTTTCCTGGAGATGGAAAAGAGAGGCTAGTTTAGTCCCAAGGGTTTAAGCTATATTTTCAGTATAAAGCAGTTAAAATTAATTCCCTTCCTAAACATTACACTATTTATAATAACTACTTCTCTTTTTACATAATAGGACACCACTGCTGTACATCCACTTCAGGTTTCTCCTTCACAGAGGGCAGATTTTCACATGGCCAGCCACGCTTTCACCCTTTGCAGCTAGAGAATGGCTCCCCAGGGGCAGAGGTTCAGCTCACTGTCATATGAGCAAAGCTACTCAACTCAAACAGAATATAAGTGCACAGGCTTCATTGTACTAGCATTTTTTATAACCCCCAAGCCTAGCAACCACAGGACACAGAAACCGGTAGAGGATACAGCAGGAGGGTGTGAATGGGGGGATTAGAGGCACTTCCCGGAAGGAAAACAAGAAGGGCCATGAGGATGGGGCTGCTGTAGCAGCACAGGCCATGGACCCACTTGTGGGTGCTCCAGAGACCAGTGGGCTGATGGGGCTGAGACATATGCTAGGGTGGGAGAGATCCTGTACCTGGAAGAGGCATCTGGTCATTAGACTTGTTTCTATGAACCCCTGGGTAACTGTGAGGCAATTATCTACTTTACTGTGAAGCAGAATGAGCAACTGGATAAAGTGGAGTATAAAAGTCAAGTATCATCACTGATAAACTTTCTGGTAAGGGAATGACCCAGGCTGTCCCCTCAGTCTCTCAGGCGGGAGTTGACTGATTTTCATCTCCTCACCTAGGAATTCTATAGCTACTGCTCTGGACAGGGTATTTGAAGTGATAGATGCCAAACTAAAGGCTGTAGGAGAGGCCAACGGAGAGGGAATTCATAAACACCACAACACTTACGTGTTATGATGGTTAATTTTAAGCACCTATTTGACTAAGCCAAAGGATGCCCAGAAAGCTGGTAAAACATTATTTCTGGGTGTGTCTGTGAGGGTGTTTCCAGAAGAAATTAGCATTTCAATCAATAGACTGAGTAAAGAAGACTGCCCTCACCAACATGGACAGGCATCATCCAATGTGTTGAGGGCCTGGATAGAACAAAAAGGCAGGCGAAGGATGAATTTGCTCTTTCTTTGAGCTGCTCCTGGCCTGTGGACATAGGTGCTTCTGGTTCTTGGGCCTTTGGAGTCAGAATGAATTGCACCACTGGTTTTCCAGCTTGCAGATGGCAGATCATGGGACTTCTTGGCCTCCATACTTGCATGAGTGAACTCCTACTATGAATCTCCTCTTATATATCCCCATATGTCCTGATGGTTCTGTTTCTCTGGAGAACCCTAATACACATATCTCTCATTTCCTAAGAACCCCTGGTGCTCCCTGTGCGCTCCAGTTCCTTTCAACAACTGCAAGCTTTATTTGAGGAAGAAAACCTGTGGACTTACTCTGAGCTACGTGACGAGGGTAAGCAGATTTGCACTTCTATCTGGGTGCCTCCCCATGCCTAATTTAACAAGCCGACTTAAGAACCACAATGTTATTGATGAGAGAGGGAAAAGAGGGCAGCCTCAGATCCTCAAGTCCTCCTCACGCACTGGCATGTCCATGGTTACAACTTCCTGTCTTCACTTTAGGACACTGTCCCTAGACAGGCCAAACTCCGAGAAAGGGTAACTCCTTAGGTTTCAAAGTCACTGACATCCTGGGTGTGACTAAAAATCAGAGGCAGGGCTTTATGAAAAGGTGGGGGCTGGGGATAAGGTGATAAAGTGCCAAGACTACTCAGAAAAGGCAAAAAGTGTTAATGTGGGGATCCTAGTCAAATATTTTGTATTATACAGTTTTAAGGTCAATTTGCTCTTGCTAATGAGTTTTCAACATCCTTGCCTTTTTCAGATCCACCTTTTGCCAACATTTTTATTCAAAGTTAAATGCCGAAACACATATATGCATTTTCCTTCTCCCTCTCTCTCTCACTAACTTCTGCAAATTTCTGCATTAAACCTATGTAAGTTTGGAGAAAATTCTACTTTTTCCCTCGAGTTTACTCTGTCTACTTCTAATAGGCATTTCCTCACCTTCTTTGTAAGTCTTCACAGCAGATGAGTAAAGTTCACTGGCTCCTCTTTAGTTCTTAATGACTCTATGGTACTTTCGTCAGTCTTAATAAACATGTAATTGCTTGGGTGACTAGATGAGTAAGCTACCCAACAGTTCTAATGCAACAGGCACCTAGGGCTTAGAAACCCTTTATGCAGAAGACATGTTTTAGGTTAGTAATAATTGCAGTATGTTCTCTTGAATCTTCTCAATGGGCAACCCTTCAAGTGTGGATTTAACTGCTAAAACTGGTCAAAATTCATTCAAAATAAAGTCTAGTGCTCATGTTTTTCTAAATGCAACAAATAAGGTATTAAAGTCATTTATTATTGTTAAATACAAGCTGGTAATGACGCCACCAAGGTCCCTTTGTGTTCTTCAGCAAACTGCTTTTTTTTTTAAAGATTGGCACCTGGGCTAACAATTGTTGCCAATCTTTTTTTTTTTTTGCTTTATCTTCCCAAAACCCCCCTGTAGACAGTTGTATATCTTAGTTGCAGGTCCTTCTAGTTGTGGGATGTGGGACGCCGCCTCAACGTGGCCTGACGAGCAGTGCCATGTCCGCGCCCAGGACCCGAACCCTGGGCCGCCGCAGCGGAGCACGTGAACCTAACCACTCGGCCACAGAGCCGGCCCCAGCAGGCTCACCCAGACAGAGGTTCCATGGTCCACGGCGCAGGCACTGGTACTGTTCCCATCTGTGCTCATCCCGAATCCTGCTGTGTTTTATATCCTGGGTCTCTGGACAGAGCCCGCAGCTGGCACAGCTGAAGTGAATGCTGCTTTCCCTGCCTCCAGAGCCCTGACTTAACTACCGAGGTCAGTCAGAACTTTTCAACAACTGTTCCCATCTCTTCATTTCCTCCTGGGTCCTGCCTCAGGAATCAAATTGTGACTTCCCATTGTGGATTCAAAGACCCTTTCTTAATCTCCAGTCTACAGCTCCCTGCTCCATTAAAGCAGGCTAACTGGTCATTTCCAGTCCAATAATTCACTTTCTCTTTCCATGATCTTCTAAACTTCCAGGCACATTAGAATCACTTGGGGGAACTTTAAAAAAAAAATCCAGGCCCCATCCCAGATGAATTAAATCATGCCAGGACAGGCCCTGGCATAAATTTTTTTAATTTTATTTTTCCTTTTTCTCCCCAAAGCCCCTCAGTACATAGTTGTATATAATTTTAGTTGTGGGTCCTTCTAGTTGTGGCATGTGGGATGCCACCTCAGTGTGGCTTGATGAGCAGTGTCATGTCTGTGCTGCACCAAGGATCCGAACCACCGAAACCCTGGGCCGCCAAAGTGGAGTGCACGAACTTTACTACTTGGCCACGGGGTCGGCCCCTTTTATTTTTTTAAGATTTTATGGCATAAACATTTTTTAAGCTCAGTGGGTTATTCTAATGTTCGGTCAAGAAGAAACCAGTGTCGCAAAGACTCCCTTCTGTTCCTCATATCCTCCTTTCAACCCCACAAGATCACCCTGGGGAAATGAACATCATAAATTGCTACTTACTGGCTAATAATAAAAAGATTGATTTAATTGTTCTGGTTCATTGTTTTTATCCTGTTTACTCATTGAGATTGGCTTGTAGATATTGTTTTTCTTATACAATGTTTTTAAACCATAGACTCAAAGCCAAGAACTGACTTGATGTACATAGCTTTAAGTACATCCTAAATTTTGAATTCTGCTTATTTAACCCAACCTTTCTAGTAATGTGTCTGCCTTCCTAATTTGTTATAATTCCTCATATACATAAAACTGGTTATCTGGCAGAAGTTGCTGGTAGAAGTCAACACATTATGTAAGTTAACCTGATACTTTCTGCATCAAACTTTGTTTTCAATCTCTGCTCACTTACACTTCTGTTCTCCCACTCCTCCCCAAATTGCAATCCCAGGCTAGCTTCTTCCCAGCACAGGCAAGCAAACTGGAGGTGAAGAAATGACCACTGCCCAGTCTTGAATGAAGAGAAACACCAACAACATCCAGGAAGTTGTTTAACTGGCCAACAAGTAATTCTCCTGCACCTACTTTATCAACTCTTTCTTCTTAGGCCTACAATGTCTCAAAGCACTTCTTAAGACCTTGCCTCATTTGAGTCTCACTAGACCTACATAAACTTGGTAACGTGTATTATCTTCACACTACAAGAAAACCAAAGCAAGATTAAAACTCTGGCCTCCTGACTTCCTTTCCAGGACCTTTTCCATTACAATAATCCTTATTCTTATAAAACCATTAAAAATGCTATACACAAAATGTTTTACATTACATAAAATTTACAGGGAGAAATAATCACCAAATGACCCTGGCACCCTGGAACAACCATTGTTATTTGGTGTGTTTTCCTACGCTTAAAAAATGCAGTCAAAGGCATACTGTGTATTTAAAACAAAATCTTACAGTTTTGCTAGAATTTTGTCAGTTTGTGGCTTTGGAGTAATTATAATATGGTTAGAATGAGACTATTCTGTAAGAATGCATACCTCTCCAAGGTGTTTATTCTGCTGTCAAAGCAATCACTCAATAGGGCAGAATCTGGAGAGAAAGCAGACAAGGAAAACAGGACCAAGAAGTAAAATCTTAAATTCTATGATTTTAGGGTTGGAAAGGACCTTCTATTATCATCTTGTTCAATGAGCACATACATTAGAATTACGAAAACGAGAGCTACACAAATTAAGTGCTTGCTCCATATCAAGTAGGTATAGAATGTTAAGCTAGGACCAGAATCCAGTTTTTAACCCTAGTCAGGTGGTCTTCCCACTGTACAATGACTCATCAAGCGTCCATGTCCCTAACAGCGCGTGGCACCATGAGGGATACAAAATCAGACATGACCTCCATTCTCGGGTAGCTTAACTGTTAGACCAGTTTCAAGATTTTACAGTAAATACTGGCTTTGTTAATAAACACACACAAAGCCACATAGCCCAATGAGGTTTTATCAACATTTTATTTGAAACGTAACCTGGCAGTTTTTACAGCATTGTAGCACACTGCTTTTGAGGCTCCTCTGATTGGACTGTATCTATCTGCGTTCTTTCACCGGGGGCTGGTCTTAGAGGTATGAAATAAGTTTTTGTCTTGAAGAGGTAATTTGACCAAGTTGACAAAAGTCATTGTGTGTGTGTGTGTGTATATAATTATGGCCAGAGTTACACATTTAGAAAGAAACTGGAGCAAGGACAGAAAGGGAGGAATAACATCCTAGAAAGGGACAAATTACTCCTTTTGCAAGATACAAAAACAGCACCTTCCGGGTGCTTTATGCAAGGGACAATAAGCTCTGGTCTGCTAGTGCTGATGAAGCAGAAGTCTTTTATGGAACCCTGATACAGGTGAAACAGATTCTCTCCTATCCTGATAGCACTAGAAATGCCAAACTGTGCCACCGTTTGCCCATTCCCAAGTGAATCTACCAGGCCCAGAGATCCTGATGCAGGGACCATAGGACCTTCCCACCTGACTATGGCTGAGTGAACCAAGATGAGCATGTAACCCAAGGGCAGCCAATCCAAGGGCTGGCTGGAAACTTGTGGCCTGGTTTAGAAAGAGGAGCTGGGCCAGATGCCACACCTTAGAATCTGAACTAAGAAAAACCAAGAGAATCAGAGCCACATGGTTTCATAGCACACAGAAACTTGTGGGAGCCAGGAGGCACAGAAAAGATGGAGTAAATAGGCTCAACGGAAGCAAGAGATGGTAGGAAAAAGCTGAGACATCAAGCAATCACGTGCTTCTGTAGAGCAGCCTCAGTTCTTGACTTCCCACCTCAAGCTCAGCTGGCTTTACGACCCTCTCGCTGGTTGGTCCCGTACACCTTTCCTGATGGCTGCCATCCTGACACCTTCTATGTCAGGCTTTATGCTAAGCACTTCCACCTAGGTCTCCCCCTAAACCTTAACACCTCCTGTTGTACAGATAAGGAACCCAAGCTTGTGATGGTTATATAACGTTACTTCCGATGATGCCAGGACTTGAATCTAGGTCTGACTCGGAGTCCATGCTCTAAACCATGAAGCTGTACTAACCCGCTTTAGTCCTTAAGACCCCGTGCAGTCCCCATCCCCGATGCCCCAACTTGACCTGACTTGAACACCCTTTGCTTGTAAAAGCCTGAGACTTCCCCAGTCAAAGAATGTCCTATGTACAAACCCTGACTGCTTCCCTGGCTACAGATGAAGCAGAGTGAAGAGAGGAGGGTCAAAGGGATCCACCACGCACACAGCAGACATAGACCTGACGATGACAGAATCTCTGGTCTATAAGAACCTTTTGGGGAAAGACTTGTTTTTACTCATTGCTACTGAACACCCCTCAGGCAGCTGTTGAGGATGCTTTTTGTTGTCTAAGAAGCTATGATATAGAAGAGGGATGCGGTGTCCTGCCCCTCCTCAAGAGGAAACCTGAGCAGAAATTTGGCTTCTCCATCCCATTTGGAATGAACAGATAAAGGAACTCGGGTCCTTTTTAATCAACAAGGCTTTTGTGGACTGAGACAATGAACATTTGTTATTCCCCAGCAAGCCACAGGGCCTGGTCGTGACTGAGATAGGCATGGACACTCAAATCTCTCAAAAATGCTCCAAAAAGCAGCCCAGCAGAGTCTCCCAATGGGAACTCTGCAGACTATCATCAATGATGAGGGAAGTGATGGAAGGCCCTGCTCTGGCTGGAGCTCAGCTATGGTGTTGCCAATATCAAATGTCCAGCAGAAAGGAGCAGAGTTATCTTCTTTCACTTTCTAGATAAGCAATCAACTTCCACTTATTTTCATATCTGTGGCTGAATCAGAGGTTCATCTAATGGTGACAATGAAAAGCCTGGTAAGCGACGTGTGGATCTGGTTATAGTCAACACCTGGATCCACTCAGAAGATGGTGCCCATTTACATGTGACAGCACAGACTTCTTAGCCCAGAGGGCAGACTGATGAAGGGCACATTTCTGGGTTTTCCTCCTTCATATCATGTCTGGTCATGACAACCAATCCTCAGGTACTTCTTCAACTGCAGAGTTAAATGCATGGTTTCTCTCAGGAGCCCTTGATGGGCCAACAGTTTCTCCTCCACACACCGAAACCTTTCTGTTGGACTTTATTTTCCACTGGTCCATTTTACTTCCCTACCCTGAATCTTAAGCAAACAACCTCTGATTTAGAGCTAGCCTGGAGTTCTACCTGGTGGAGGACTGCTGGAGGGAAAAGAGACCAGAATGTACAATAGCTGAATCTCCTAGTTTATAAGAGGCCTGATGGTTAGGATAACACCTACTTCCATCTTTCTGGCATGGCCCTGCCCAGCCCCTTTCACTCAGCTTCTTGCCCCATTGGTACTTGAACTGTGTTCACTTCTTGCCAAAGTCTGGGTCCCTGTTGGCTACAGTGCCTCGCAGAAGGGACTGTGGGATCTATCGGCAGCATCTTAACCCACAGGGCTCTTCCATTAATCAGCTGTGTCCTCAGTAAATCTTTGAGTAAAATCTCCCATGTTATCTAGTCCAACATCACATGTAGTGTAGGAACACCTTCTCCAGCACACCCTGGCAAATGCTCAAATCTGTTCAGAAAAAGAGAGCTCACCACCTAAAGAGAGCACTTTGATTTTTCTCCCTTTTCACTAGGGAGATCGAGGTGTAAAACAGGGCTGGATCTCACCCTCAAGTTCTCAGTGGGTTCACTCTAGTGAAACTGGAACCCTGGCTTTGGGATTCCCAGAACACCCAAATTTAACCACGATATGGCTCCAGATTCTAGTTAGAAAACTTCATCCCGATATGCCAGGGCTCTGTTCATCATCTGTCTTGGTTTGTTTTATACCCTTGGGTTTTTTCATCACCTTCAGACTAAGTTATGACAGTGGACTAGCTCTTACATACATTTCTCAGGTCTCCCACGATCCCTAGTATTGTGAATGTCACAGAGCATATGTTTTATAAATGTTACGATCCTACAGAGCAGCATGTTCAGACAGAGCCTGCCCAGGAGCAAAGCTAGCCAGGGTAACACTTTTTCCTAGTGTGGTTACACACGACTAGGTAGGATGAAGGTTCGGCTAGGTGATAAGGAAAAAATGAGTCTTATCACTTCATCAAGAAAGTGCCCTGTCTAAATACTCACAGACCTTGTTCCAGGCATCTTGGGAAGATTCAGGGGAAACAAGAGTACAGGAATAAACAGCTTTTCTGCCCAAGACTTAGGGCTTCTGCATTCTCTTTCTGTTTTCTACCTCAGGCTCCAAGCAAGAGTAAAACAACAAATCAAATTGATTTCAGTCAAGTTTCAGCAAGAATGTCTCCGCTTTGATTATGCTGTCTTATTTGGCTTTGCCTGGATAGAAGCCAGAATAGGGACAGGATTTTGGCAGGAGAAGGAATGTATCACAACATTTTTTTTCCTTTTTTTTTAAAAAATTTCTAAGGGCTCACTTTTTTCCTTTCATCAGCCTCACTTTGCAGATGACAATGTGATATCTGTAAACGGAAAGGGACTTATGCCCAACTGCAAAGCCACTTAGGAGTGAGACCAGGCTCAGATGCTTCCAGGTGATTGAGTTACCCCAGCAAAAGAACACATGGTAGCCACCACCCTAGGAGCGAAACAAGCAAGAGGAGGCTGTCCTTGTGTGCACGGAGCTGAGCTCTGTGATCAAGCAAGTCCCTCAGTTTGTCCACTGCCAACGGGGTAGAGCCAGAGGGAGTGAGCACACACACTGATGGCTCAAGAAAGCTGCGTTATAACACTATCTCATGACTGAGGAAATGAAAGCTGAGTCCGCTGCACTTTCTGAAACTGTAATGCTTCTGGAAAGTGCTATGATCTTTTCTGCTGACAACTGTCAAGAACATCAGACCAGCAATGGAAAAACCAGCTTATTGGCTTGGAAACAGTAAGAATTTGACATAAATGACTCTAAGAAATATGGTTCAGGCACAAGTTTTAGGCTGTTCTGTCATTTCTCTGGGATCTCTAGCTTTTAAAGCTGGGGCTGAGAACACTGCTCCCAATTTTTTAACCAGGACCTTGACAAAGGTTTCTAGCAGTATAAGTGCCAGGAAGAGCCTGAATGCTTCAAATCAAGCTGGTGCAAATTAAGAACTGTCCTCCTTAAAAAGCTTTTAAAGTCCGATTTCTTGCTCCCCCAATATTAAACAAAATCTACTAGGAGAATTAATCTAGGAAACCTGGGAAGGCCATCTGGTGTTATTTGGGGAGAGGCAGTACATAAGCCCATGAACAAACAGGAGCTGGCGTCAGGGAGGAGCAGGAACATGGACCCAGGCTTGAGCACTTTCTTCTAGCAACCATCCTACCATCAATGAATTGACACAAGCCTCAGTCAGACATTCCCGGCCCTCACCATGGGCTTCTAGCTTTGGAGGCTCTTCCCACACACCTGTCTCTACCTGGAGCTACAATTAGTATCACTCTACTACCCTGTGACGGATTACCAGAGGCCAAATCTTGCTTTCCAACCTCTCTGCAACATTCTTATAACTTCTGCTTAGGTAATATTTTTGAAAAGATGGGGATGCTGGGCTTCTTTCCAGGTCTTTCTGGGTTTCAAGGTGTGGTGCTCTTGTAATGTTGTTGAAGTTCCGAAACACAAGCATGTCACTAGCCAAGCGTACAGGACCCCAAACTCAACGACGTGCCAGATGGTCATTACTGCGGGGGTAGAGGGGCTGTGGGCGTTTCTCTCGCCCTGCTGCAAGCCTGGATAACCACGAAAGGTGGGGGATTCACAAAACTCCCCCTCCACTCCCTTCCCCATACCACTGATTGGCTTCCAGACCTTCAGTGTTAACGGCTAGGCCAGAGGTTTCGAGCCCAGTTAGGAGGGGACCTGGAGGGTCAGGCGGCTGTCCAGAGGGGTCACTGTCGCCCCCACAGCCTCCGTTGTGGCCGGAGCGCAGGTGGTCCTTGAGCGTCTGTTTGTAGCGGAAGCTGCGGCCGCAGTAGGCGCAGGGGTAGGGCCGCTCGCCCGTGTGGATGCGCTGGTGCTTCATGAGGTGGTGCTTGCGGATGAAGCTCTTGCCGCAGTGCGCGCAGCTGAAGGGCCGCTCGCCCGTGTGCAGCCGCCGGTGGTTCAGCAGGTGCTCCTTGCGCATAAAGCTCTTGCTGCAGTCAGTGCACGGGTAAGGCCGCTCGCCTGTGTGGATCATCTGGTGGCGAATCAGGGCCGAGTGGCCGTTGAAGTCAATGCCACACTGCGGGCAGGAGAAAGGCCGCTCCTGCGCGTGCCCCCGCTGGTGGAGCAGGAGGCTGATCTTCAGGCTGAAGCTCCGGCCGCACTGCGCGCAGCGGAAGGGCCGCTCGCTGGCGTGAGCCCGCCGGTGGCTGGTGAGGCGGGCCTGGTCGGCGAAGCGCTTGGGGCAGTCGGGGCAGGGGAAGGGGCGCTCAGTGCTGTTATGGACCCGGAGGTGGTAGGTCAGTCTTGACGGGTGAGTGAAAGTCCTGGCGCAGTGGGGGCAGGTGGGGGGTGTCTCCGCGGCTTGGGCCTGGGAGCTGCTGCTGAGGTCGGCCTGCTGCGGAAAGTGCTTGGGGCACTGGGCACAGGGTAAGGGGTGCTCACCAGTGTGGCTGCATTGGTGGGTCAGCAACATGTCTTGGCTGAGGCTCTTGCCACAGTGGTGGCATGAGAACACTTGCTCCCCCGCTGGAGGCGGGAGCGGGTAGCTTCCCAACTGAGTAAAAGTCACTTGTCCCTCAGGGGCTTCAGCCAGGTCAGGGGCTGGACGTCCAAAAGTTGTCATGGATGCAGACTGCTGGCTTTTGAAAGCCACATCTGAAAAAGTATCCTTTGCTGCTGCTGCTGGTGGAGAAGAGAAGGTGACCGGAACCTCAGGGCACAAGGAGGCTCTAGCAAGGCCTTCAGCTTTGATGACAAGCTCTTCATCTGAAAGAAAGGACTCAGAGTCATGCCTGTCCACAACCGTCTGTGGCAACTCTTAGTCCTCCTGCCCTGCTCTAACAGACTGCCTGAGCCCTTCGCTGGCTCTGATAAGAAGCTCAGGGAGGGCTGAGATAATCATCAAGGCGTCTGTGGTCCCTGTGGCAAATCAGAGAACTCACGACTGCACCTCTGCAACGCTCCCTGCTTGGAAAAGGAAAAACCTGCGCATCAAGCTTCCCAGCAGTACTTCATTCTGTTTCTCCTCTTCACGACCTTTCAGCGATTCTCTGGTGCCTAGTGTGACAAGGCCTAAAATCACGTACTTATCTATTCCTACTCCTCTTCATTCTGCCAGGTAACTCCTTCACTGCAGTCAGCTGTCTCTCTACTTTCGCTGAAAGTAAAGTATACATTTCTGCTTTTACATCTTTGCTCATTCTGTCCTCTTTTGTGGAATGCACCCCCTCTCTTCCTATCTTCCCAAATTATACCCAACCATATCATACCAGTCTTCTAAGGCCCAGTTCTGGCTTCACATCCTTCTTTAGGCTTTATCTAAATACTAAACTAAAACTGATGCATGTTCTCCAAACTTCTCATTTCTTTCACGTTAGTCATCCATCCCACTCACCCTTGACATTTAACAACAGGCGTGCCTAGCAATGATATGTGTGTCCTCAATATTTTAATTTTTATTTCCTAGAGCCTAAAAGAACACAGGGCATAGAAGATATTAAAAAACAGCTTGCGTTAAGTTATAGAAACAATTGGGTCCCTTCTGACCTTGAGATTCTCTTCTATAATTCAGATGGCAAAATACAGCTGGTGCTAAATATCTTAGAAGGAAGATATTTGTTTCTTCTCCCATCATGTTTTCCTGAGGGAGAGCTCTTCATTAACATTCCCATTTGCGCCTCTCCAATGACATTTTTGTCTCCACTGCTTGTCCCCCCCGCCACTTTGTTCTATCCTTTCTACACAATCTTCAAATGTTCTTCTTTCTTTATCTTCATACTTTTGGTCCATCTGCATGCACTTATTTTTCTTCCTCTGACAATTCTAATTTGTTGTTACATTTAAGAGTGTTTTCTCACTTAAAATTTATCTTAGTTTCATTTCTAGCTTACTTGAGTGTGTCTCCCCCCACCCCTCTTTTTCTCCATTCTTCTCCCACTTCTGCCCCCACACCCCTTCACCTGCTGTCTGCGGTCAGTCCTGGTGTAAGCTGTTCTAGGCATGGATGTTTCCTCCATTACTCACCGGCATAGGTGCCTTTGTATACGTCACTCTCCTTGGACGCCTGTGGGGCCCCAGCCTGGGGCTCTTCCTCTTGTTTAATCCAAGAAAGAATATCTGATGTTGAAATGCCAGGCTCTATTTGTGGGGGAAAAAGAGAATGCCCTTCAGGGGACTGACTCAGAAAGTGACAATAATCATGTGGGTTTGTTGAACACTATGTTTTGTACAAATACTTATCTCTAACTAACCATCACAACAAAACTGAATCAGCCTTTTAAAAAAATGCATATATCAAGAGCACCAGTTCAAAATGAAACCAAATTGATGTATTTTTATATGATATACTCAGCCTGATTCACTATTTTCAGTGAGCCCACTTCAAAAGAAATCAATTTTTATTTTGGAGGTGACACCTGAAATAATCTAGAATCAACAGTACCTGTCATTTCATTAGCACACTTATTTTCAAAATGTTCTCACTTTTTTCTCTCACAGCTTTTTTATGAAATAATGAAGCAGGGAATATTTTCTCCATTTAAGTGGCCAATAAGGAAGTATTTACAGTGAAACGCCATATTATCAAAGGTCTGCTTTAAAATACAGCAGACAGGGGCTGGCCCCGTGGCCGAGTGGTTGGGTTCTCGCACTCCGCTTCCGGCGGCCCAGGGTTCGGATCCTAGGTGTGGACATGGCACCGCTGGTTAGGCCACGCTGAGGTGGCGTCCCACATGCCACAACTAGAAGGACCCACAACTAAAATATACAGCTATGTACCGGGGGGGCTTTGGGGAGGAAAAAAAAAAGCAGGAAAAAAAAAACATTGCCAACAGTTGTTAGCTCAGGTACCAATCTTTAAAAAAATAAAATAAAATAAAATACAGCAGAAAAAAGCAAAAGAAACAAAATTGACCAAAAAAGTTTTTCTTAAATGTTAATTAAAAAAACAAATACATTTCCAGAATTACAAAGTTATATCAGTTTAAACACAGATCTGACTGCTCAGAAACATACTTTTCAGGTTCCCAATTCTGGGCTCTTTCCAAGAGATCCTACTACCTTTGCCTATCAAATGATACAGGTCAGGGGCCGGCCCCATGGCCGAGTGGTTAAGTTCTCGAGTTCCACTTTGGTGGCTCAGGGTTTCAGTGGTTCGGATCCTGGGCGCAGACATGGCACCGCTCATCAGGCCATGCTGAGGCGGCATCCCACATAGCACAACCAGAGGCTCTCACAACTAGAATATACGACTATGTACCAGGGGGCTTTGGGGAGGAGAAGAAGAAGAAAAAAAGAAAGATTGGCAACAGATGTTAGCTCAGGTGCCAATCTTTAAAGAAAAAATGATACAGGTCATTGTTTCCTGAACCCTGGGATGGTGGAGAATAGTATTTGCAAGTTCCTCAGGCCTTGGGGATTCTTTTGGAAAGAAAAAAGAACAGCCTCTCAAGGCTTTGCACATAACATGCCTCATTTGGTCAGCACAGAAACAGCTGTGTTTGCTATTCCAGCCGAGGCATATATAGCCTTTTTTGGCCTAAAAGGACAAGCTGGCAAGCTGACAAGGTCCAAAGAGTAAATTCAAGCTCTCTATATTATTTCTCAAAAAAGCCTTGTAGGCAGGTTATGGTTTTATTCCTAGAAAATGAACAGAACTCACTGTTTTTCCCAATGCCTTTCAAATCAAGTAGAGACCACTGAAACCTAAATGTGTGCCCAAAGCAGAGATAAGAGGTTAGACAAGAGTAAGGCCTCAAAGACTGTCAGACTGCACAGATGGAAAAACACAGGTTTTAGTGTACGTGGCAGGTTGCCTCTCAGCTTCCTACTCTGAGCCACAAGGCTGAAGTGTATTAAATATAGTCCCACCTTATTTTTTTTTCTCCCAGCTTTTATACACACGTATATATAAAGAAAAAAGCAGGCAGGGGAGACTGTGTATAAGGAAGAGGTTCTTTTAACAGACATCCAGAGGATGAACTTTCTATTCATGCAAAACATGAGACTTTTAAAATGCTTAACTGCTTCCTTCATCAATTTTCTGAATAATGATAGTGCCTTAGAAACCTCCAAAAGTGATTCACGTGGTTTTGATTTTTTGTTTGTTTATCATTATGAACTCATAGAATGTTATTTGATGAGTTTCAATCCATTGCAGCCATTCTTTTTAGTGCTCAAACTGTTCCTTCTTTGGCCAGTAGGAGCCCCTTCAGATCAGCTCTATGTCTTTTCATGTCATCAAACACCTAGTCTCCTTCATTTTTGCTACGACAAACCGTCCCAGGTTCATCTGGTACATTTCCTGCTCCAAGCACACAATCAACAATCTCTTTGAGAAATGGAATTTAGAGACCACACTCGGGATAAGCATACTAACGCTAATAGGTTCTTGTTGCTTCTAAGTCTTTTCAATGGACAGAGCTATAAAATACATACCTTTTAGAAAAAGAAAAGTGTCATTTGAGTTCATATTAATATTTATGATTCATATTTAAGATTACAAGGTTTTAATTAAATCTTTTGATTTTATACTTGTATCTTTTCTCTCTTATCCTGAAAATCTTGGTTCATAATAAGATTAACATAATCTTTGCTTTATCTGAATATATGTTTCAAAATAATACCAATATTATTAACAAAAAAATGAACACAATTTAAGATGTTTTGTGGTTCTTCTAGTCTTTAGGACACATCCATCTAGGGATTTATAGTTATGTTTTAAAGTCATTTGAAAGAAATCTACTTTATGTGTTTATGTCACCAGCTTGATATATGGTTTAGTTATTTCAACATGTATTGATTTTTTAAATTTGTTTTTTTAATTATGTAAAATATTTACAAGGCTCCAAAATCAAACTATAAAATAAGGTACATTCAGACAGCCCTACCTTCCATCTCTAGTCTCTCTCTCCCTGTATAGGTAACCATTCTTGTTGGGTTTCATTTTAAACTTTATACATCTTCATATTTTCCTTCTTTATGTGGCATACGACATAAACTGTTCTATAACTGGAATTTTTACTTAACAATATATTCCGGGTATCTGTCTGCAGCAGTCTACAGAGATCTTTCTCATTCCTTTTTATAGCTGTACTATGTAGCTATACCATTGTTTACTCAAGAGTCCCCTACTGATGGGCATCTGGATTCTTTCCAATCTTTCTTTTTGCTAAGGAAGATTTGCCCTATCATCTGTTGCCAATCTTCCTCTTTTTGCTTGAGGAAGATTCACCCTGAGCTAACATCTGTGCCAATCCCCCTGTTTTTTATGTGGCTCACTGCCATAGCGTGGTCACCAACAAGTGGTGGAGGTCCACAGCCAGGAACCGAACCCAGGTCGCTGAAGCGGAGAGAGCTGAACCACTAGGCCACGGGGCCAGCCCCTCCAATCTTTTCTTATATTAGTCAGCAGCCAACCGTAAAAGCTATGGAGGGCTAAAAAAAAACAAGGCAGTTCTCCAGAAACATAAGCAGCTGTTGTTATTACAGCCTGCCGGCTGAGTATGTCTTCAGTTAACTTGGGAAGCCCCAGGAACCTAATGTCTCTTTTTGAATGATTATGCTGAAAGCGCCTCTGGTCGGTTAACTAGATCAGTACTATTAAATTTTGTGTTTTTTTTGAGGAAGATTAGCCCTGAGCTAACTGCTGCCAATCCTCCTCCTTTTGCTGAGGAAGACTGGCCCTGAGCTAACATCTGTGCCCATCTTCCTCTATTTTATATGTGGGATGCCTGAGGTCTGCAGTCGGAGGGAGCTGGCTTAACCCAAGAAAGCAGCTTTTGCCAAGCAGTGCCATGTCCGCACCCAGGATCCAAACTGGCGAACCCCAGGCTGCTGAGAAGCGGAACATGCGCACTTAACCGCTGCGCCACCGGGCTGGCCCCACTACTAAGTTTTATTTTATTAAATAGTTGGTCCTCTGCACTACTATCATAGAATGCATAGAATACAGCAGTGTCTGCTACAGTTTGGTGGGAGTGTCCAACCTGAGGACCTTCTGGCAGTGAAATAAAAGGAGCAGGAGCATTTGAACACTAAGATGGCCTGATACAGACACCTGTATCGTGACAGTATGGGCAAAAGCTGGCCAGGTCGCCACAATGGCACACCAAAGCACATTCCTCGTAGGCCTGAGGAATCCCAACAGTGGATACTTAAAGAGACACAAAGTGACGGGAAAATCATTGGTTCATGCAAGCAGCAGCCTTTGGAGAAAGCTAGAGAATAGAGAAAAACAATATTGATCAGTAAGAGGAAGTTGATAAATGCTGAGGTTTTAGGTTTGAGAGGTGGTGAAAAATAGAAAGGCCGATCACAAGAAAATATAAAATTTTAATGTCTACACTGGTTGAATGTTATTTTAACTGTGAGGAACTCTGATTTTGTGTGTGTGTGTGTGTGTGTGTGTGTATGTTTTAAACAGATAAGGGCCCGTGCTGTTTAAAAAGGAGCTGGAACCTCGAGGTTCTGAATGTTATGAAGGTTTATAAACTAAGCGAGTTAAAACTGGTGCTGAGGTCTGACATCTTAAGCAGGTAATAAAAAATAATTGACACATGAAACTATCACAGTTAAAAAAATAAAACCTTTTAAACTTTTTGTGAAACAGGTATGGAACTGTAACATAGCAAGAATGTGTTAAGTATTTGTGTAATAAGTTAAAACCCCTAAGTTTTATCATGTCCAGGATGATTCTTGCTCTCAAAGAGGTTAAACTAAGATAAAAAGATTATCATATTGAGATGTGCCTTAATCACTGATTTTGTCTAGGACCAGAGTGAACAGGGATAAACATGGGATAATGACAATGTACCTGAAATGACAATGATCAAAGAAGTCTCCCCAGGACTACAAGTTTTAGAAGTTAATTTATTTTACTTTTGGCTCATTCTAGAATTTTGGCTTGAGTCCATAGCTTCTGAACTAGAAGAAGGCCTAGATAATGGACTTTCAGTAATTATTCTATCTGAACTTCTTGGGTAAACTTTTTCTCCAAAAAATTCTAAAAAATTGGAGTTCAATATTAAAACTATCAGTGACCAAATAATGGCCACACACACACAGCTGGTCTGCAGTTAGCCCTAGTAATAGAGTTAAAGAATTTCAGAAAATCTCGTGTTTGTATTTTTCTACATTCTCCCATTTACTACCATTCTCTACTAATTGTTTGCAGTTTTATCTAAGATACTAGGCATCAATGACTATTCCCTAAGAGGATACAATTTCTCTTTCCCCTCATCAGATTCAAGTAATGGAGATAAAATAAAATAAAAATTTTAAAAATTTTATGCTCTATTTTTTATTTTTATTTTTTGGAGGAAGATTAGCCATGAGCTAACATCTGCTGCCAATCCTCCCCTTTTTGCTGAGGAAGACTGGCCCTGAGCTAATCTCCATGCCTCATCTTCCTCTACTTTATATGTGGGATGCCTGCCACAGCATGGCTTGGCAAGCGGTGCCGTGTCCACACCCGGGATCCAAACCGGCGAACCCCAGGCTGCTGAAGCGGAACATGCACACCAAACTGCTGCGCCACTGGGCTGGCCCCTGGAGTATAAAATTAATTCCATGACATCTGGACATAAAAAGGAGGGGATGCCACATGGTACCATCACTATCTCCAAATCTATTCTACCTATATATTTTTATTTAATTATAATGCACAGTTGTTAAAGCTCTAAAATGGAATACAATCATAAATTATGGGTTTTATAAGAAATATAGATAAATCCAAATGTATTTTAGAAAATTCAGGTTTCGAAAAGTACATCAATGTTCTAACATAAACACACTGGTCTAACAACAAATTCCATGGCGTATTAAAATTGGTTAAAAAAAGATGATGTTAGAGAAGAGAGAAGCTGCCTGCTCAAAAATAAAAGTTTTGATTCTTTTTTTCCTTATTAGAACAAGATTTTAAAAATGATTTAAATGGTTAGAGTTAAGTGGAGAATAATCTATCAGAAAGATATTTTATAAATTCTGTCATTAAAGTGGCCTAGCATTAGTATCCTCTTCCTAGTATTCGTGTGGAACAATCTTTCATGAACCTTAATGACCAGACAGTTTAATACTATTCTCCACTGAAAGGAACCCAGACTTTTTTAATGTGTTATGAGAAAGAAAATCTAAAATAGGCCTGTGTCAACACAGCAGGCCTGAGACGCTGAGACTTAGAAAGGCCTGCTTACGAGGTTGGCCCTTGGCTGGCAAACAGTTCCCTGTGCTGATGTAAAACTTTCCCTAAATGTTAAGAGTGCCTCACAGGGCCTAAACTGTTGGTACAAACAGTGTGGTTTATGCTGAACCTCCACTTGCCTTCTGGGAGTCTGGAATTGTGGTGTGTGCTAGGCAGAGGGTGCTTCCATGAGCAGCTCCAGTGAAAACCTTGGGCACTGAGTCTCCAGGGAGCTTCTCTGGGAGACGACACTCTGCATGTGTTATCACAACCCCTTGCTGGAGGATTAAGTGTGTCCTGTGAGACTCTACTCAGAGAGGAGACTCTGGAACATTTTTTTTTTTTAAGAAAACAAGTACTGAGGCAGTACTGGAAGGACACAAGAGACAGTTTAAAAGTCCTCTCACTTGCCAAGTTGACAATTTGAGCAACCAAAAAAAAAAAAATTGCATTAAATGAATAAAATCCATGAATATATAATTAAATCTAAAAGGGAGAAAATATAAAGGGTTCTAAAGGATAGACACATCTGAGCTTTTTTAAAATTCTACATATTGATCAGTTCAAGTCATATGAATCCTATCTTCAAGTTCTGGTAAATATCTAGGTTGATAATCATCAAAGCAAGCTAAAACTCTAAAGAATCAAACCAGAGTATTAAATAAATTCAATGCTTACAGTGTTTGTTAATTTTAAGTAAAAATGTATTAATGTATATAGGTTGACTACCCATAAATGGAGTCATAAAAACGAAGGTAAAAATAAATTGACAAGATGGCAGCTAAATGACACTTTCATGTATCATTACAAAACCAACTTACCTACATCTTTTCCATTCGTCCCCAAAAATGACACACTCATTTATACTATCGAGGGCTATGTCAGGAACTAATAAAGTAGACTAAGGAGTTCTTTCCAGTAATGAATTAAGTCAGCCATCTCTATTTGTGATATGATTTTAGAATCATTATTTGTATCCATGATACAGAGATGAATCAAATTCCACCTGTTACATTGCCTAAATACAATCACTCACAGTTCTTAGAAATAATATGTGTGGCAGATATATGCATTCCTCAAAACTTAGAGAATGTTCACTTAAGATCTGAGCACTTGACTGTATGTAAAATTTACCTCAAATGGAAAAAAATACACAAATATTGAACTCTAGGTTAATGATATTCATGCTGAACTATTTAGAGAGAAATGTGATGTCTGTGTTGGCTTTGAAATAGGTTGAAAATAAGACGGGTTGATGGGGGGCTGGCCCCATGGCCGAGTGGTTAAGTTCGCGTGCTCCGCTGCAGGTGGCCCAGTGTTTCGTTGGTTCGAATCCTGGGCGCGGACATGGCACTGCTCATCAAACCATGCTGAGGCAGCATCCCACATGCCACAACTAGAAGGACCCACAACGAAGAATATACAACTATGTACTGGGGGGGCTTTGGAGAGAAAAAGGAAAAAATAAAATCTTTAAAAAAAAAATTTTTTTTAAATAATAAAAAAAAAAAGATGGGTTGATGGATGGATAGAGGAATGCAGAGATGGATATATATGTGATAAAATATTAGCGTAAAATCTAGGCAGTAAGTAGGTGTTCACTGTAAAATTGTTTTAACTTTTCCGATAGTTTGAAAATTTTCATAATAAAATGTTAGAAAAAAAATAGTGCATGGGACAGGAGGTAGGTTGTAAGAGAAGTTCATTTAATAGGGATGTCTGCAGGATGAACTTTCTATGAGCTTTCTATCAAGCAAAGAACAAAAACTGTATGAGATTTTTCTGATAGCAGAGGTGGGGCTTGAGAGAAATAATACAGCTGCACTGTGGCTAGTAGTCTTTCCCACACATTATCAAGCAGCTGCCAACTAAAAATATTAAGGCAAGTTAATTAATGATAGCTGGCTCCCAAACCAAGCAAAATCTGCTTTGCCCAGGTGGATGTCATCGGGGTCCACTGGTTAAGTGCATCTCTGAGGGACCACGCAGACGCCCAGCTCCTCCAGCACTACTTAATGGCCACGTGTACATTCCCTCAAGCCCTTCCCTTCAGATGAGCATGACTGCTTCCTCTGCCATCTAAGGACATTCTTTTTTCTAAATATTTACATCTCAGAACCTTTGTCATAGCCCTCAGATGTGTGGTATTGGGGGGTGAAGGCATTGGACAAGGTGATCTCTAAGCTCCCCCTCCTATTTAAATGCCTGATGATCCATTCACAGTCTAGTTGCTTTAGCACCAAGAGGCTCGAGGACCCCAAGCCCTGCTTACTTAGTGCTGAGCCATCATCCCTGACCAGGAAAGAGAGACAAGGACTAGATAATCTCTTCTCCCACTTACCTTCACTGGGGTCTGTGGGAATCTCACTTTCCTCTGGCCCTGCCTGGTCCTCTGTGTTATGGTCTCCTTCTGGCTGAATCTGAGATAAGACATCAGGTTGATTCATGGCATAATCTAGGAGAGGAAGAAGGGAAAAGGGGTATGACAAAGAGATCAATGAGGATGCTACTAATTGTCATGAAGGCTGTGCTGAGGACTTTGAGATCCACAATCCCAGGGAATTACTTTTATATTCTATTTCACTTTCCCCATCCATCCACCTCCAATATGGAAGAGATCTATCAGGCAAGCAGGTAAGAGGAGAGGTAAAGGGTGGGAAAGGTACATGTACGACTTCAGCACCGCCACCTGCTGCTTTCACTGGGTAAGAGCGACAGTGTGCCTCGGGTGGGGGAGAGGGGGAGAGATCAAGGACCCTTCAAAGTGAAGGATACCCATGGAAACCACTGCAGCTGGCACACCCATAACTCTGAACTTCACTCTCTATCCCGTGAATTGGCAAAGGAGAGATGCTGATTTCCTATTTAGCAAGGGTGAATTGGAAATCTTTAGCTTGGAACCAGAATCTGAAGGGTGTGAGGACAGAGTGAGAATGAAGACCACTGGAGGAAAAGGGACTGTTCTGAGCCCTCCTGGAGCTGCTGTCACCTCATTCACAAGGGGCCAACTTAGCCTCACCCATGGAGATGAGAGACTCGTAGTTGCCCTTCATGATATTCTTGTAAAGTTCCTTTTGCCATTCTTCTAATTTTTCCCATTCTGGAGTGGAAAAGTAGATGGAGATATCATCAAATGTCACAGGTACCTGAAATTACAATCACACCGGGGTTAGTCCCTCCCACTGCAATTCAATCATTCAAGAAATCTTTACTGAGTGCCTACTAGGTACAAAAAACTGTGCGGGACCCTAAAAGGATACAGGAAAAACTTAAGACAGATCCAACCTCCGGGAGTTGACAATATTTTCAAGGAGAAAGGTGATAAACTTTAGGGTTGTGCGTTTTGAGAGGGTGAAGGACATGTAAAGAGTCATTTGCAGACATAGGTACAAATGCAAAGCAGTATTTAACTCACAAAGCACAACATATTAATATCCATTGAGTACAAGGTTTATCTGAAGCACCAAGATTATAAAAATATGGTTTCTGGGGGCCGGCCCCATGGCCAAGTGGTTAAGTTCACGTGCTCCACTTTGGTGGCCCTGGGTTTCACCTGTTCGGATCCTGGGTGCAGAAATGGCACCACTCATCAGGCTATGTTGAGGCGGCGTCCCACATGTCACAGCTAGAGGGACCCACAACTAAAAAAAAATATACAACTATATACTGAGGGGATTTGGGGAGAAAAAGCAGAAAAAAAAAAAAGATTGGCAACAGTTGTTAGCTCAGGTGCCAATCTTTAAAGATTTTTATTTTTTTCCTTTTTCTCCCCCAAGCCCCCCAGTACATAGTTGTATATTCTTCGTTGTGGGTCCTTCTAGTTGTGGCATGTGGGATACTGCCTCAGCCCGGTTTGATGAGCAGTGCCATGTCCACGCCCAGGATTCGAACCAACGAAACACTGGGCCGCCTGCAGCGGAGCACGCGAACTTAACCACTCGACCACGGGGCCAGCCCCTCAGGTGCCAATCTTAAAAAAAAAAAAAAAAAATTTGGTTTCTGCCCAAAAGGAATGTATGACTGTATTCAAATTAATAACATGGACAAGAAATTTTTAAAATAGAGCTATAATGGGACTGGGATGAGTCTGGAAGAGATGGGGCTTCAGCTAGTCCTAAAAGACAGGTAGATTTCTTTGTTTTGGACACTGTCATTTTTCTGGTTTTTCGCTGAGGAGGATTAGCCCTGAGCTAACATCTGCTGCCAATCTTCCTTTTTTTTTTTCTTTTAGCTTGAGGAAGATTAGCCCTAAGCTAACATCTGTGCGAACCTTCCTCCATTTTGTACGTAGCATGCCTCTACACATGGCTGACAGTGAAGTAGGTCCACGCCCAAGCTATGAACCCGCGCTGCCAAAGCGGAGCACCTGGAACTTTAACCACTTCACCACGGGGCTGGCCCCCTAAGATGTATATACATGTATCTTTTCCAAAATTAAAAAATTCAATAAAAATATACATACTTCATAAATTTAACATAGCCTTTAAGATTCAAAGGTCTGTCCAATACTATTAGGCAGTTTTATTTCTTTCTGCTTCATTTGTGTCATCTTTTTCCTCAACGAGAAATTTTGTTCCTAGGGGCTAGAACCATAAATTACTCATTTTTACATCCTGCTCAGCACCTAAAATCAGGCTGAGGGAAGTGTAAACACTCAATACTTAATTTTTATCTAACCTCACTACACAGGAGATCTGTCATAGCTTACAATAAAAACTCACGATAAAATGATCACAGAAATCAAGGATCAGATGGGCTTCTGGTCCAAGACTGTGAGCTAAGCACACACGTCCTTCTCTTCCCTCCCAGACTCCACTGAAACCACAGCGCTGAGATGGGGGACATATCTACAACACCGCCAAGAATGAGCAGGAAGGCCGTCACCAGACAGTTCTTGATGAGTCTCACTGAGACCCGGAGGATGGGCGTGTGCTGGGGTCTAAGGTGCGCGAGGAAGCTGCATCTCCCTGATGCACAGGGAAAGACTGCAGTGGAGGAATCCAGAGAATTCCAAGCTCGAAGTCAGCAGCTACCCTGAGTCGGAGTAAAAGTGGCTGTAAACTGCCGTTTGAAGGGCTATCTTTAGAAGCAGGACCCCCTCTCTCGTCCTCCTCATCAACCCTGGCAGAGCCGGCAGCATTTACCCCAAAGCTGAAATGACAGACCATATCTCTATGGAAATTTCACAACCTGCCTGGGACAGCAGGGGACCCCAGTATGGGAGCTGACGGCTTGGAGTACTGCCTTACTCCTTCTGGCCTCCGGGTGGTCCCTGCACTGCCTATTTGCTCCTGGCCACAGCACCTTAAAGTGAAGCCCACCTACATGGAGCGCCTATGGAGGGAGCCCGCTCCTGCAAATGAAAGATCCTGTGGTTAAAGAGACTAAAGTGGTGGCAGAGAAAACATGTCAGCTTCCTGTAATTAACCAAAGTAATCAATCTAATCCTTCACTTATAAATATGAATGAACAATCACAGATTACTCAAGATTTTTTTTAAAAAGCTAACAGCACCAAGATGAACAAACACTATAAAAGATCCTAGAGGGAAAAAAATCAATAAGCTAAAAATCAAACAACCCTCTGAAATTCAGATTCTCAAAGAAATTTAGTAGATATTGCATCCATAAAAAAAATTCAGGCTGCTTTAAAAAAAGGAGCAGAAAATAAGTATTCTTGAAAATTAAATATATAATTGTTAAAAATAAAAATTAGAAATGCTGGAAGGAAAGGTCAAGGAACTGTAGTTAAAAAGGTAAAAAATATTAAGGAAAATTTAAAGAAACAAAGACAATAATCCATCATCTGTCAACAGCAGTTCCAGAAAGAGAATAGAAAAAATGGGGGAGGGTGTGTGAAATATTATAAAAATAGATTCATAGAAGAAAATTTCCCAGAGCTGAAAAGATACCACTCTTCTGAATGAAGGGTCACACCAAGGGTCCAAAACAAATTTTAAAAGACCTATATCCAGCCATAGCCAACAAATTTTAGAAAAATATAAATAGAAGATAAAAACTTCCAGGGAAAAAAAAATGGGTTTCTTACAAATTATAATCAGTTTGGTATTAAACTTTTTATCAATGGCATTTGGTGTTATGAGATAATGGACCAACACTTTTAAAATTCTGAGGGCAAATGGAATATTATTGAGCCTGAAAAAGGAAGGAAATTCTGACCTGCTGCAACATGGATTCATCTGCAGGATGTTATGCACAAGTGAAACAAGCCAGTCACAAAAGGACAAAAATTGTGTGATTTCACTTATATGATGTCCCTAGAGTAGTCAAATTCACAGAGACAGAAAGCAGAATGGTGGCTGCCAGGGGCTGGGGGCAGCGGGAATGAGGAGTTGTTTAGTGGGTACAGAGTTTCAGTTTGGGAAATCCTGGGGATGGATGGTGGTGACGCTTGCACAACAATGTGAATGTACTTAATGCCACTGAACTGTACCCTTAACCATGGTTAAAATGGTAAATTTTATGTATATTTACCAAAATTAAAAAAAATTAAAATTCAAAGTAAGGGCAGAATAAGAGCATTTGCAACAAAGCAAGGACACAAAAGTTTACTTCCTGTATTTCAATCTAGTAAATCTTCAATATATTCTAATTTCATGAAGAAATCACAACATTATTTTTATATGATTTTGGAGTTTAAGATGGACAGGTTGAATGTTACCCATTTATCCGGGTAATACCATAAGTAACTTTAACTTCCCTTTTCTGCTATTCTTACGGCAAATACAAATTTAAACTTTCCCAAAGAACTTCTAGGGGGCTCCAGATACACAAATAAAAACACTGGGGCAGGTTCTCTGTCAGATACTGCCTCTGACATCCCTTCCAACTCCCTCATCTCCGCTCCCCTTCACAACCCTTGAAAGAGTCCTTTATTGTCATTCTCCCTTTTCTCTTCCCATTCACCCCTCCACCAGCTCCATTCAGCCTTCCATCCCCAGCTTCACTGCACTGAACCAACTCTTGCAAGGTTCCCAGCGACGTCTATGTTGCCAAATCATATTCACCATCGTCTTCCTTCTAGACCTCTCGGTAACATATCAACCCAGATGACAACTCTCTCCTTGAAATGCTTTTCTCCTTGTCCCTGTGACCCCACATGCTTTCCTGTTTTGTTTCCTTTCCCGCCTCCCTGGCCACTCCTCCTCAGTCTCCTTTGCTGGCTCCTCCTTTCCCTGGAGCTGAGCCCTGGGACTCCTCTTGCTTTCCCACTTTCTTTCCTGAGGTCATCACTTCCAGCCTCTTGACTTACAACATGACCTGGACATCAACGACTCCCAAATATTTCTCACCTTTGAGCTTCAGGGACCACTTCACATCTCTCCAGAATGTGCCACAGGCATTTCCAACCTAACACTGCGAAAGAGAACTCTTAATTCCTTCCCATGCCTCAAGATATCCCCATCTCAGTAGATGCCAACACCATCCATCCGGTTCTTCAAGCCAAAAGCCTAAGAGTCACTAAACCTAAGGTGTTAAGAGCATGTGCTCTGGAGCCAACTGGGTTACAAGACAACTCTGTTATTTATATTTAGTAACTATATGAACCCAAGTTAGGGTTCTTATGAAATAACTAAAGCACTCAGAACAGTAAAATTCTAAGTAAATTATCACACATTAAATTTACAATTATTGTTGTTCTTAATTCCTCCTTCCCTACTTCCCATCAGTAAGTCTTACTGTCAATTCTACCATCAAAACATCCCGAATCTGTCCACTTATCTCCATCTCCACTACTGCTACCCTCATCCAGGCCACTCTCACCCCTATTACAGCTGCCTATTGTTTTCCTCCCTGCTCCTGTTCTTACCCCCATGATGCATTCTCCACATGGCAGCCAAAGTGGTTCTTTCAAAATATACACCAGTATAACTCCTCTGCTTAAAACCCTTCAATTTCCTCCCATTACACCTAAGATAAAACCCCAACTGCTTACCTTGGTCTCCAATGCCTGACCCAGTGGTTCAAAACTCTAGCTGCATTATTACAATCATCTACGGAGCTTCAAGAATTATTAATGCTTAGGCCCCATCCTGGACCTATTAAATCAGAATCTCTAGGTGTGATGCCCATCAAAATTTAAAAGCTCCCCAGATGAATCCTATGTACACCCAGGGCTGAAACACATTGCCCTAAACGATCTGCCTCCTGTTTACTCAGTGCACACAGCCGGCTGCCCTTCCTCCTTCCCCTCAGTGTCCCTAGTCCCTTTGAGCCTTCGGGACTTTGCACTAGGTATTCTTTCTGCCTAGAAAGCTCTTCCTCAGATCTTCTCACAGCTGGATCCTTCCTGTTATTTAGTCTCAGCCTAAATATTAGCTCCTTTATGAGAACTTCTCTGATAGCCAATCTAAAATAAATCATCAGATAGCACTTATATTTTTACCAAAGCGCTTAAATGGATTTTAATGTTATCTTTCTTTATCCACTAAAATTTAAGCTCCAAGGGAGCTTACATGAATTGTTCACTGCTGTGCCTTCAGGATGTAGACATCAAGCAAATAGTAAGTGTTCAAGAAATATTTGTTGAATGAAGGAATAAATAAGCAGGCATGCTTGGAAACTAGCTGGCTCGAGGCTGTCTTCCACAGTTGAGGAATAGTGTTTATTTCCCTTTTGTTTTATGGGCTATTCCCTCCAGAAAGGCTGGGCCCCAGCATTGCGGCACACTTCTGCAAAGGATGCTGACGGGCAGGATCTACGTCAGCCCCAGACCCACAGATGGTCCCAAACCCTTATGTTAACTATTTACTCTACCTCCCCTCCCTTGTCTTCCCTCTAACTTTTCACCAGAATTGACAACAAATTCAAATTGACTGATTTAAATGATATTTAGTTTCCACACCAAGATCGTGGCAGACAGGTTAACAAAGAGAAAAGTGACCGGGGGATAATGGGCAGGAGAAAGCAAAAGAGAAGAAAATCCATCTATCAGATAGCCAACTTTGGACTGGAAACAGTTTTCCAATGATCTCTGTATTAAACATGGAATGCTTCCCAAATAGAGAAACACAAAACAACTTCATAGTTCCTTCAGCCTAACTGACTGACCAAGATTATCCCTTACTACTAGGCTAAGGACTAGTGAGACCACTTTCCATCTAGAAGCGAAGGTATTACCTTTGGGATATCCCCTTTAATACCCGGGGGCAGCCGCAGGATCCAGAAGTTCCTGTTTCTCAGCAGATTCTCCAGGTTCTCCAGCCGCCTCTGCAGCAGCCCGTACTCCTGCAGCAGGGTCCCCAGCACGGCCCACTTGCCATCCAGCTGGTTCCCAAGATCGGCCACTGTCTTTTCACAGCTGGCCAGCTTCTTCTCTGCTGTCCCTGTCCGTCCTTCTAGATGCAGGAGTCGCCGGCTGTGGACCTCAACCTTTCTCTCTATAGCCTGCACGGCGGCCACCACTGTCCACAGGGAGATGGCTGCAGTCTGCAGGTGTGCCTCATTTGCTGCTGGGGGCGTGGGAAGAGGAAGGGGCTGCAGGGACGTAAGGCATTCGGAGTCCCATTCAGAAGTCTGTGCGCAGTGGAGAGATGAGACAAGACACTGAGTGTTAGAAGCAGCCCTAATCCAAAATAAAATCAGATAAGGACCGCTTAACTGGCCAACTGAGATTAATCTAAATACAGTTTTAGTACCACCTGTATAAGCCTCCTCTTTATGGAGCTCATCGACATCAGGAGCCAAGAGAGCTGCTTTGGTGGTTCAGGGATGGATTAGGCAAGACAGCGAATGAGTGAAGCTGGATCAAGAACCAGCCCGGCATACTCCCTGGGATGCAAAGCCCTAGAGCCAGCGTCCAGAGGCTCAACTGTTGCTGCATCCCCTCTCTCTAGAAAAGGCTAAATGCATCAGGATCTCTCCAGGTTTCACTGAGCTCAGTGCCCTCTGATAAACCTTTGATTGACTTATGCTGTGGCCCTGTCCACCACCCTGCTTACAAACCACAACCATACCATTCAGCAAACCTTGAATAAGCAGAGAATGTTGAGTCTGGAAAACACACAACTATTTGTGAACATTTAAGGGTTATAAAACAGAAAGCAAAACAGGCTTGTTTAATCTTACAGTGTTACTCTAGACGGCAGAACTAGAACCAACACGGAATTTTCAGGCAGGCAAACATTGGCCTATATAAATAATTTTTGAACTAGATCTTTCCAAGAAAATAATAGCTTGCCCCAACATTGAACGCACTTTGAAACAAAGAACATATTTTAAAAAAAAGAAATCTCTACCAAAAAAATAGGAGGTTTGACGACGATGACCCCTACAAAGCCTTCTGACTCTATGAATTTGATAACCTGCTCTCTGGCCACAAGCTCCCATCTCTCCAGCTCACCCATCACCTTATTCTCATTTCACTTGCTCTGCAATCCCACTAAACCCTTGCCCATTCTCTTTGCTCCTGGTTTGTCAGCCTGATCTAGGCTTTGCTTTCTTCCTTGATCATTTCAGCCATCTTTGACCCCTTTACTCATGTGTCTTTCTGCCTCACCTGCTCAGCTAACCTCTAGCTTTGAATCAGTCCGATGGTTCTCATTCTGATCCTGTAAACAGGCTAGTAAGCCCTGCTAAAGGAAGTCACACAACCGGGTAAACTGGTGTCACCACACACCAACGGTCTCTAAGCTCAGAGGGGGCTCAACACTGCCTGGTGCCCCCATGTCTCTTTTCCCTTTCCGTCCAGTGGCCACTACAACTCCCACGCCAGCACTCTCCTTAATCTTTTAGCACAGCACTTCTCAAACGAATGTGCATAAGGATCATCTGGAGATCTTGTTAAAATGTAGACTTTGATTCAGTAGGTCTGGAAGGAAAATTGAGATTCTGCATTTTTACAAGCTCCCAGGTGATGCTGATGCTGCTGGCTCAGGGAACACGCGCTGAGTAGTGAGATTCTTGTCCGCTGCAGGCCCCCTCTCCCTGAGAAGATGACATGGACTCCTACTTTGAGAAGAAAATTAGAGTACTTAGACCAAACGCTCTCAATTTTCTCCTCTTTTTCTTCACATTCCTTCCCACTTCAAACTGATCAGTAACTTAATCTTGCTTTTCTTCCTACAGGAAAAAGGTTCATCCTATTTAAAATTGATCTCTCCACTTAAGCTCTGAATGCCAACTCCTTCCACATTTTTAGGTACACTGTTCTTCTTTTATGGTCAATATTTCAATCTCTTGATTCTTCTCCATAAGATGAACCTGCACTGTTCAATATGGTGGTTACTGAGCACTTGAAATGCGGTTATTTTGATTGAGATGTGCCATGAGTATCAAACACACTCAAGATTCTGAAGACACAGTATGGGGAGAAAATGTAAAACTTCCTAATTTCTTAATATTGATTCCACATTGAAATATTTTGTACGCACTGAGTTAAATAAAATATTAAAATTAACGTTATTTCTATAAACTTTTTAAACACGACTACTAGAAAATTTAAAGTTATATGTGGCTTCCATTATGTTTCTACTGGGCAGGGCTAGCATAGACACATGATCTCTACCATATTTAAAAAAAAAAGATTGGAAAAGGAAGAATAGGTCCAAGGGTAGGGATGGCTTTCCCCTCTGCTCTATTCCCCACCCCTTGCCACTGCTTCCTCTTCGTCCTCCCCTTCCACCTTTCTCACTTTCATGTCACTCCTCCGTAGCAGTCTGGCTCCTGACCCACTAAAACGGCTCTCCTTGGGGTGACCAAAGGCTTCTCAAACCGGTAAATCCAAGGCATACTTTCCAGTCCTCTGTTACTGGACTGGTCCCTGCTCGTCCTACCCGGGTCTGGGCTCAGGGACTGCCCCGGTCGTCTCCGCAGCACTAGCAACTGGTGGAGCGCCCGGCACCCGCGGGCCAGCCGCCGACATCGGCTGAATGAACCCACACGAGACGGTGCTCCACCCTCGGAACCCGCACCGGTCACTCGGGCAGCAGCGCGGACGGAGGCCCTCCTGCGTGGCCGGCATTGTCAGCTACGGGCCCGGCGCTCCCGAGCCGCACGCAGTCCTTTGACACACCTAAGTGTCACCGTGGCCGCCGCACCTGCGGCTGTGCGCGGCCGGGCGCACGGCACCGAGGGCGATCTTGCGAGCACGGGGCCGCCGGGGCCGACGGGCACGCCAGCCCAGCGGCCTGCGCGTGGCGGGCTGCGGCGGGCGGACGCCGAGCCGAGGCGCCCCTCTTCACTCATTCCTCTTTCGGTAGCGTCCCAGACTCTCCCCGCTAGAAGCCTCCAGCAGGGCTGCGGAGCCCTGGGCCTCGCACCCGGCGCGGGACCTCTCGGGCGGAGGGAGCGAGCCTGCCAGCCCCGCGCCGGCGGCGTCCCGCCCGGCCATCGGGCCCGGGGGCCCCCGGGGCGCCCGTCTGCGCTCGGGCGCGCCCCGCTCGGGGCCCCGCGCCTGACACGCCGCCTTCCGCCCGCCTCCCTCGCTCGGGCCCGGTCGCGGAGCCCCAGGCGCCCCAACCCTCCCGGGCTCACAGCGCTCGTGCGCGGGCCGCCTTACCGGAGCCGGCGCTGCCTCGGCCATGGCCCCGCGCTGCCCGGCCCGGCCCGGCCGGAGTCGCCGCCGCCGCCGCGCGGCCCCACGCAGGCCGGCCCCCGGCCTCTCCGCAGGCGCGCCCGCCCGGCTCTCGCGCGGCCGTGGGCCCGGTGCTCGGGCGCGGGGGCGCGGCAGGGGCGCGGGGCGGCCGGCCGGAGGAGCTCGGGGGCGGGCAGGCTCAGCCGCGCTCGGCCGCAGCGGCCCCTCAGCTGGCGCTTTGTGGGCACCGAGCGCAGCCGGAACGGCTCGGGCCTAGACGCGCCGCAGGCCGCGGCAGCGCGCCCCCTGCCGGCCCCGGCGGCCACTTCCGCCCCGCGGCTAGGTCGGCTCGGCCCCGGCGGCGGGCTCGGTTCCACGGGGACCTGTCTCCTGGCACGCCCCGAGAACGCGCCCCAGATGGGAGCTCAGGGCCCCAAACCAGGGCTCGTCTGCGCAGTGGTCCTTCCTGGCGGCCCAGTTCGCAGGGACCGCCTGATGGGAGGCGCCCGGGCGGGAGGGCAGCCCGTTCTAGAAAGGTGGAAACGGCGGAGGGAGATCCGGGTGGCAGGCCGGACCCAAGGGAGCTGTGGGTTAGAGTGAGTGACCGAGAGGCACGCGTCTGGGATGGAGAAGACGTTCGTCGTTTGCAGAAATTGCACATGTGGCTGCCGAGGTGAAGCGGTTCACATCCCACGTGGCCCGTGTTAGGACCACAACTCTACAGTCCTCCTTATGTCTCGGATGATTGAGGTTACGGGAAAGAACCAAGTGTTATCTGTGGAGGTTGGCAGAGTGTGTATTCTGGTAAGACAACCGCATAACCCGGAGTTTCCAGCACAGTCCTCGTTTCGAGCATGTGATCATGAATCAAGGTCCTCCCAAACCTGTATTTCAACAAATGAATCAAGTCAATGTCCATAACAGTCAAAGTATCTATAAATCACAAAAGTATGAGAACCATCCTGTCGGGGCACCTGCTGTTGAGCATACAAGCTATTTTTAGACTGTAGCTACGCCTGCAGCATGTAATTTGAAGTCTACCTGAATGTATATTTTGGTCAAAGGGTGAATGTTTGATAGTTAAAAATTGCTATTCTCTGAATCAAAATATCGCCATAACAGAGTGATCTTCTGGAAAAAAATCTGAATTTTCTTGGAAAGGAAATTAATTTTTACAATTTTACTATTAAAAATGTAATAGTTAAAATTTTAGAGTTTGACCTTATAAGGCAAGAACAATAATTTCTCAGTCCTGTCAACTGTTGGTTGCTGCTAAGGCCATTAAACAGGGACATTTGCATTACTAAATGAGGTACTTTCAACTGAGCTCCGTAGAGAAGCAAGGCTAGCTCTGCCCTCATAATATGGTAATATTGCCACCGATTTATTAAATGTGCCTTTTCCTAATAGGAACTTATTAAGGTAAAGATTTGGGCCGCACCCGTAGCCAGGTGGTTAAGTTCGTGTGCTCAGCTTTGGCGGCCCAGGGTTTTGCGGGTTCGGATTCTGGGTGCAGACATGGTACCCACTCATCAGGCCATGCTGAGGTAGCGTCCCACATAGCACAACCAGAAGGACCTCAACTAGAATATACAGCTACCTACTGGGGGGCTTTGGGGAGAAGACGAGGAAAAAGAAAAAAAAAAAGAAGATTGGCAACAGATGTTAGCTCAGGTGCCAATCTTTAAAAAAAAGGAAAAAAGGTAAAGACTTTTCTCCTTTTTAATTTTTGGCCTTGAAATTTTTTTGGATGATTGATGGCATTTCATTGAAGCAGTTTCACTGAGTGAAGTTTTGTGCACTGTTTCAAAAACATGCACGATGTTTTCAGAAGCAGACTTAAGACGGCTGTCCTCCTTTATATTATTCGTAATTTCTAATATTTTTGTCTTTCCTTGCTGCTCTACACAATCACTACAGAAAAATTTGTCCTTAAAGTTTGGATCCAGAAATGTGAAAATGGAGCCATTTAATTGGTTTTCAAGTTAAGAAAATAATCGACGTTTCCACCTGCGTCTGAGCTTTCCTTTACGCACACCAATTTCAGCAGCTGCCCTGGAGTAGAATCAGAGGAAGGTCTTTTCGGCAGGAGCCGTGTAGGAAATATTTGCACTCTTAAGACACGCCAATTTATTCAGCAAGTTGCAGCAAACAACCTGCTTGCTGTGCAAGCAACCATTGGCTGTCAGTAAGTCTTCCTATGTTGCTAATGTTCTCTGGAAAATACAAAATTAAGGCCTTCTTGATTCTATCAGCCTTTGAAGGATGCAATAGCTGCTATTGCATCTAGTTTAAATATGTTGTGTATGTACATGACAAGACAATTTCAAAATCTCTTCTGTGTCACGTAATTTGTTATTGGCTGAAAAATATTGTAGAAGTGGTCTACAATCTTTCTGCCTGCACCCGGTCATTTTCTACCACATCTTTTTAAGCTATAACCATTTTCTGAATATAAAAATGAAAGGTGTAGACTAATTATATTATGTTTATGCTCATAGCCTTCACCATATTTGTTCCATGGTCTATGACAGTTTCATGCATTTCTCTTTACTGATTTTATATTCCATAAATATTTCTCAAAGTCAGATTCACTATGTGTGTGAAACCCAGGAATCTTTCATCAGGTAAGGAAAGAGGAAACATGGTTGAATTAATCATTAATTCTCTGTTTTTAAATCTGAAAAATTGAGGTTGATTCTTCATGTCCAAATGTCACATATGCCATATACTGTAGTAGAATATGTAATAATTTCATTAACTTTTTTGTGCACAGCAAAATCATAAATCAGGAAAAAGTTTTTAGGAACGTTTTCTAAAAGAAATCAGGATTTAGAATTCATAGCTTGGGCAAATCTCAAAAATCCTTTCTCTTCAACTGCTGAAAATGGTTATCAATCTATAGCAATTATTTCTACAAGCTTTAAAAAATATTAAGCTTCATAGATCCCAAACCATGAGGCATTGTCTTATTAGAAGCATTCTTGTAGAGTTTGTTGTCTAGAGAGAACAAATGTATTTTGGGTGCCCCGTTTAATCTAAACTTTCTGCTTTTTTTTCATGTTCTACATTTTTAATTGTCTCAATCAAAGTGATTTACATATATGTGTTGTATGCGGGTTTTTTCATCTTTGTGAAATTTTGAGGTAGCCACGGTTGACATTCTACTTTTAATTTATCCTCCTAATATGTGAAAAATTACCAAATAGGGCTTTTTTTTTAACATTCACAGACTAAATGGAGTTAAATAATTAAACGTTAGTCTAAAGGTTAGCTTATTTAGTGTTATGAATGCAATTGTACCAAATAATTCTATAGTAATTAGAACTATTATATAATCTAATCTTTATTATTTTGACCTGTGATAGTATTTATATTTTTATAAACATCTGTAGGCTCAAAAAGGATATAATGTTCTTTCTAAAGTTACCTGGATAACATTCTCTCAATATTCATATTAACTGTTAATACATTTGAGTATTTGAAAGTTCTTATTAGATAGATTCAACACCTTTCACAATCCTCAGTAATTATTGTAGCCTTTTACTTTTGCAATATTAAAAATAGATTCATATATAGTTCAACTGACTATTAGCGTTTCAACATATAAAGCACATTATCAAATTTTATACCTCAAGTTACATCTAGATTATAGAATACCTAAATTTGAAAGTAGAAATTCAGATGTTAAGAATAAATATGAGTGACCTGCCATGTTTATGTTAATGAAGACTGATCCACCGATGGGATCTGATGGAAATCTACCTAAATCACAGGTCGTTACTCACGTGCAGGTTAAGGATGCCAGAAATGACACTGAGTGAACATTCAGCTATTCCACTTTGCAGTGGCCAAGGTTGAAGCCACAGCTGAACAGCAGAATTTGGCCAAACAGTGAGCCTGAGGCCAAAGGTCAGCGCAGCCCCACTACATGTGCGTGTAGTTCTCATCTAGGCATATGCGAAAGACCTGACAATTCTGCAGTGGTCAGATCACAGTTTGTAGATGAAAATTCCCAAGTGATTATTATCCATATAGGCTGAAATTATGGATGTTATATTTAAATACCTTTTTTTTATATGATGTAAATAGGTTGAGATTATTTTGTGTTTTTACCATCAGTGGCCACCAAAATTCTGAGGTTGACACATTTACTCTCTTTTTGTCTTTCTCCATTCACATTTTTTATTTTTTTCTGTGCTTTGCAAAACATTTGAAATATACAGGGATGTATAAAGAAGACAAAAGCCACCTATAGTACAGTACTATCCAGAGAGAATCACTCTTAGAATTTCTGTGTCTATCCTTCCAGGCTTCTTTTTTCTATGTATATTTGGGTTTTTTAAAACATAGCTGGAACCATAAATACTGTTGTGCAAGCTGCCTTTATTACTTAATATACTTGAATATCTTATATAGCATTAAATATTATTCTAAAACATAATTTAATGTGTACATATTATTTCATTGGACAGGTATTTAATAACTTACTTATACATTCAGGTTCTGGTTTTCCACCACTACATAAACTTAGGATGATTCTGCTTGTCCATAAATCTTTATATGTTTTTTAAATTTTTTCCCGAGACTCAGTTGCTAGGAATGGGAGATTACTGGGCAAGGCTATGATTATTTATTTAGATTTTGAGGCCTATGGCCAGATTACTATCCGGAGAAGTTATACCAATTTACATTCCCACCAGCAATATAACCCTCACTTCCATTTTTTTGTTACGTCTTTCAATGTTCCAAAGTTTCTTTTTATGTAGTCAGATCTTTCAGTGTTTCCCTTTATGCCTTCTAAGTTTTATGTTTTGCCTCCTTACTCCAAAACTATAAAAATATTCTTATATTTTTTCTAGTTCTGGAAAAAATATCTTAAAGTCTTTTCCCATTGCGTGATTTCTTTTTTTTTTTTTTAAGATTTTATTTTTTCCTTTTTCTTCCCAAAGCCCCCCGCTACATAGTTGTATATTTTTAGTTGTGGGTTCTTCTAGTTGAGGCATTTGGGATGCTGCCTCAGCATGGCCTAGATGAGTGGTGCCATGTCGCACCCAGGATCCGAACTGGCGAAACCCTGGGCCTCCGAAGAAGAGCACGTGAACTTAACCACTCGGCCAGGGGCCAGCCCCCATTGTGTGATTTCTTAACAGCAATAATCACTAACATTTATTGAGTACCAAATGCCAGGGACCATGCTATGCACTTTACATGTGTTATATGATCTAATCTTCTCAACTGTTCTATAATGAAAATAACATGCTTTAAAGGTTAAATAATTTGCCCAAAGTCAGAGGACTAAAAAAAAGGTGAAGTCAGGATTCAAATGCAAGTTCCTTTGACTTCACAGTCCAAGCTCTTGACCACTCTGCTGTGCTACCTCCTTTGTGGCCTTTAAACCAAATGCTCATGTGAAATTGTTAACTAAATGAGATAAGACAAAGGGCCTGCAAATCAGAGATGTCTGAAGATGCTTATAGATTTTTCACTGAGAAGACATTACAATTTGGAATGTTCAATAATATGCAAAATTGTCTTTTCACTGTCAAGTATAAACTGATTAACAACTTTGGGTTTGGGAAAAGTCATCAATGATCATTGACACTATAGCATTTAAGTTTAACAATCATTTATGAGTGCCTACATGTGCCAGATGTTGTACTGGGGTTAACGAGTAGAATAAGACAAAGTTTCTTTCTTTACGGAGCTATTGGGGGTAGGAGATGGCAAGAAAGCAAATAATTTCAACTCAAGCATAATGTGTAATTATGGGATGTTGTATTTGTTTCCCAAGGCTGCCATAGCAAAATACAACAAACTAGGTGGCTCAAAAAACAGAAATTTATTCTCCCATGGTTCTGGAGGCTACAAGTCCAAAATCAAAGTGTCAGTAGGGCCATGCTCCCTCTGAGGCACCAGGGGAGCGTCCTTCCTTGCTCCATCCTAGCTTCTGGTGTCCGCTGGCAATCCTTGGCACTCCTCGGCTTGTAGACACATCACTCTAATCTCTGCCTCCGTCATCACACAGTGTCCTCTCTGTGTCTGCATCTCTTCTCTTCTTATAAGGAAACCAGACACATGGATTAGGGGCCCACCCTACTCCAGTATGACCTCATTTTAATTTACATCTTAATCACATCTGCAAGGACCTTATTTCTAAATAAGTCACATACACAGACATCCGGGGTTAGGACTTCAACACATCTTTTTGGGGGGACATAATTCAACCCATAACAGATATAAAAATGAAAGTAGCCATAGTAAGTAGCGTATAGGAAAGAAAATTTTTCTGTGTCCTGGGAGTTTCAGGGAAGGCTTCCTGGAGAAGGTGACATGGTAGCTAAGTCCTGAAGGAAAAATAGATGTTATCAGATGTCCTGGGAATGGGAGATAGTCATTCCAATCAGAGTGAACAGCAAGGCAGAGTCCCAGAGGTGTGCTCAGCATGAGATATGCAGAAAAGTACACGTAGGCCATTGCTGCTGGATCTGAAAACGTGGTAATGTGGGGAGTAGAGCTTAGATGCAGAAGAAGAGTAGAGAGGTTGGCAAGCTGAATGAATTCTTAGAAGCTTGACAAAAGAGGCTTGAAAAAATTAAAAACAGCAATTACCACATAGGTAAGGAAACCAACACTGAACTAGTGATTACTATTTTGGGGTCACTTTACACAATCGTCTAATTTGATCTTTACATCAAGTACATGAGGTAGATGTTACCGTTTGTTTTTACTCCAGAGTTTATCCAAACTTTTGGTGGGCAATTCTCAATGGCGTTTCTGCATGTCTTGTGGCAGCTTTCGTCCTGGACTAGCTTTTCAAGGATATTTGTATGGCAAACAACCTGGGAGGACAGAGGTAGTGTCTCCCTCTGGGGGAGAAGGCAGATTTGTTTCCTGACCAGGAAAATAAAGATATTGTCTTCCTCTAGGTGAGAGGTTGGACAAGTCTGCTAACATCCCCCTTATAAGACTGAGATAGGATTGACAGGTAAAATAGGGGATGTCTAGTAAAATTTGAATTTCAGATAAGCAACAAGTAATTTTTAGTACAAGTGTAACCTATGTAATGCTTATACTAAAAACTATTTTTTATTTATCTGAAATTCAAATTTAACAGGACATCTGTATTTTTACTTGCTAAATCTGGCAACCCTAGGTTGGGAGTTTCCTAAGCTCACTGTTCCTTGGCTGTGATGCAGGTTCATTGTGTGTGAGGTGGTCACCCGGGCCCTACTACATCACCCCCATGGGCAAATTGATGGGAACATGAAGCTCATGCTCCCTGGCTCTGTGAGCAGTAAAGCCCTTTGTCTCTGACCCAGGCATCTCCTGTCTTCTCCAGCATCTGTGGAAACCATGGCAGGCTAACTGTGAACTTGCAGTAGGGTAAAACCTCAGACCCTTCATAATTCCTTACTTGACACTAATATCCTATTGAGAGACACTTAGATTATTTCTAATCTAATTAGATAATATTGCTGTTATAAGTGATATTGCAACAAATATCCTGCAACATACTTCTCGGTGCATAGGTACAAAATCTGTTGGAAAAATTTCTAGAAATGGAATTGCTGGGTCAAGACGTATGTACACTTAAAATGTTGAAGTATATCAATAAATTGTTCTTCGCAGAGGTCGTATGATAAACTCTCACCAACGATGTACAACAGTATCTGTTTCTTTCCACGCTTGCAGCCCAGTATATTATGAACTTTTTTGATCTTTGCCAACTTGGTAAGTAAAAAGTGGGATCTCATTTAGTTTTACTTTGTTTTTCTCTTCTTATGAGTAACGTTAAACATCTTAAGCTTAAAAGCCTCGTGCATTTCCTTTTCTGTGAACTGTTCACATTTTAAAAATCATTTTTCTGTTGAGTTGTTGATACTTTCTTGTTGCGTTGCATGAAATCTTTATATAGTACACAAATTAGACAGTTGTTTTTCATATAATATATGTGCTTTTCCTAGTGTGACATCTCCCATTTGGCATCTTGCCAAACAGAAATTTTTAATTTTTATGTAATCAGCATTTTCAGTCTTTTATGACTTTTCGGTTTGCTGTCTTGCTTAGAAAGGCCCTCCCCTCTCTGAGTTTTTTGTGTTTTTTTTTTAATTTCTCACATTTCTTGAAGACTTCATGAAAGAAACTGTGACTCAGACTTCAGCCTGGGTTTCGATGTGTTTTGCTATCATCTCTGGGATGCTTTTGGTTCATTGACATTTTCACAGCAAAAAGCACGTACCAAATTGGTACACTTGTGGGATTTCTCAGCACTGGCACAGAGAGGCTGCTCTGAGATTTACCAGAGGGAACTCTTGCCCATGTCTGGGGTGCTGCAAGTCCCAAAGGCACTCTCTCTGTCACTTCCAAAGTGACACTTTGATGCTGTGGATTTCTCCAAGTTTCGTTCGCAAAGAAATAGAAATTTTCACCACTACCAAAGCAAAGTGTAACTGGAATCACAAAAGTTTAATTTTGACAAGACGATGAGGAAACAGTGGGTTCCCAAGGCTTCCATATGACCAGCTCCTCCAAATCCACATTTTATAAATTCTTATATGCCTCTGGGAGAGTTATTTCTGGAACTCTTTATCTGTATTACTGCTACATTTTCTCCAATTCTTACATGTAGAGAGCCCTGAACTAATATATATTTTTTCCTATGTTCACTACAATTCATGCAAAAGTTTCCTCAATGTAAGACTACAAGTCCCAGATCTTTAGAAGGAAAGGGTAATTTGATTCCCAGGTGATGCATTTTGCCCCATATGGCAGGTAGGCATGGCTAAAGTGGTTCACAAACAAAAGACTATGACAGGGATCTGTTAATATGCAGTTGGGGACCAGACTGCCACATTTTCCCGAAATTCCTAGATTCACTACAGATTCCTCCATTCATTCCTGTTTGGAAAACAAGATCTGCTTCCTACTTATTAAAGAGAAAACTTCAGTGTTTGCCAGTAAATAGGGACTCAAATCAGAGTTCAAACCTGACACATGTAACGTTACAATTTTAGCTGCAGTGTAGGGTGTGTTTTCTCTTTGGAGGTTGACATACACCTACTTCCTTGTTCTAGCACCCTACCAGAAATAAGAACAGTGAATCCTACTAACTTAGACAGATCCTGGCTTAGCCAGACCCTGGAAAGAAAAAGTAAAAATAAAACATTAGAATATTAAAGGTAATTCTAAGTAAGGTTCCTCCTCCTTGTGTGTGTGTTTGTGTGTGTGCGTGTGTGTGTGTGTGTGTGTGTGATTTTTCAGAATCTTGGGTTTCTCCTAACCAGATATTTAAAAAGAACTGGTCATATATTTTCATTTAAGCATTTATGACGCTTCTCAGTGAAATGAGAAAGACAGTTCTACATCTGGTTCTGGGATCTTAGATCCTTTATCTGCTCCTTTTGAAAAAGATGATAAAAACAATCGCTGACTTATGTTGAATGCTTACTATCTGCCGAGGACTGCGTGAATAAGCACAAACATTGCAGCTGTTAGTCGTCACAGCACCCCCATGTGGCAGATCCTTCTCAAGGCACATCCTGGGTGCCTCTAGTAAGTGCTGACTGCAATAATTCTCTCACTAAACAAGTCTGTTGACCGTGTTAAGGTTATTGAGGTTAAATATTAACGTGCAATGTAGAGGACCAGTAGGCAAGCATTAACACTTTCAATTCCTCCATTCATTGCTTCACTACCTCCAGAGATTTGATGATTATCTTAGAGGCAGAATGGTTTGAATGTGTAGACAACTGTAAACGGACTTTGATTTTCTTCCTTCCTTTGGTCTAAGTCAGTGGTTCTGAAACAGTGTGTATAAGAATTACTGTACTGAGTTGTATAAAATCATGTATACTGTACTTTAGGAGCAAGTAAAGAGATGCTCAAGGTAATTCTGACTGTGTATGATTTTCGCCTACTATGCTGACTTTATGATGAATCCTTTGCAGGGAAATAATAACAAGAGATTCAGGCTAAGAGAGAAAGTAAGACTCAAGAGAAGAGAGCCAGGGAGACTTCCAGGTAGGGTGAAAGAGGCGCCTATCAGCATACTAGCCAATCTGAGATCAAGGGTGTAGGAACAGGACAAGGCCAGGAGGAATGAATGCCAGATTCTGTGGTAAAAATACTTTATTTATGTTATCTCACTTAATTATTATAGCAACCCTTCAGATATGGAAACTAAGGTTCCAAGTGTCTGAATAACTTGCCTGGTGTCACAAAGATGGCAGACAGCAGAGCCAATATCCAAACCCAGGTCTTTCTCACTCTAAAACTCAAGGCCTTTCCACCATAGCTGGCTTCCTTGTGGGTTAGGACTTCCTAACCACAGAGCCAGAAAGAACTCCAGGGAAAATGGAGATGTTTAAAGTTGGTTTAGGATGGCCTAAAGCTTGGGGCAAGATTCTTGTGAGGCCATGTAGGGAAAAATTCTCTTTACTCACGGAGAACAGAGGGACTCATCTGGTATGGATGGTTTAGGAAGCTAAAGAGAATCTTACAAAAGTAGCTGCATCCATGCCTAATCATGATTTCTTTCCTTCTGAAAGCTTGGAAAAGACATCCAGAGTCTGGGCTGTCATTTACACGTGGTGGACGTGTGGTGGTGTCCTTCAGGTGCTCACCTTTCTGGTCCCTTGGGAATATCATTTTAGCATCCCAGTAAAAGACATTGCAAACTCAGAAATCAGACCTTCATTAGGCTGGAAACTAATCACTTGAGAAAAAAACATGCCCCCAACTTTGAGGACCAGGTAGCAGCTTTAGGAGAAATAGCCACTGGCTACAACAGTGGCGACGTGGAGCTAACACTGACACACTCACTGGCAGTAAGAGAAGGGAGAGCCCTGGAGGAACTCCAAGAACCACTGAGGAAGTCGATGAGCCTCCAGACACTCATCGAGAGCAAGGAGCTCCAGTGGCTTTGAAGGCTCATGAACACTGTTAGTGAAGGGTGTAAAGTGAATTTCGTTTGACAGAACAAAGGTTGTCCAAGTAATACAACTGGATTCTAGAATAAGGAGAATGACTTTAGATCTACAGCTAACAGTATAT